AGAAAAATTAGGACTATAGGCAATCCCCAAATTTATGATGGTCTGATTTAGAATTTTCTGACCTTTCTCTAGTGTGGAAGCAATATACATTCAGTGGAAATCATACTTTGAAGTTTAAATTTTGGTCTTTTCTTAGGCAAATGATAGGCAGATGATACTTTCTTATGCTGCTGGGCAGCTTGGTTACCTCAGTGCCTACTCAGCCACTTTTCCAACCAGGAAAAGGATGCACACTCTACAGCGTATTGTTTTGCTGTGCTGTGGTGTTGTGATAGTTAGGTGTATTCATGCATTTTGACTTATGCTAATTTTTCAGCTTATGGGTTTATGAACATATAACCCCATCGTAAGTCAAGGACATAACTTTATGAGAAATTTGGGAGGTCTTTGGCTAAGATGTGAAGGCCATCAGATATTCAGTGTAGATCAAGTGATTCCTGGCTTAATGAGACAATGCATTTTTTTGGCGGGGGGACTGGGGATTGAATTCAGGGGCACTCGACCACTGAGCCACATCCCCTGCCCTATTTTGTATTTTATTTAGAGACAGGGTTTCACTGAGTTGCTTAGCACCTTGCTTTTGCTGAAGCTGGCTTTTGAACTGACGATCCTCCTGCCTCAGCCTCCCGAGCCACTGGGATTACAGGCATGTACCACTGCATATATTGTCTTGCTGGCAAGACAATGCATTTTATTTGTGATTACTTTTTTTTTTTTTTAAACACTTCTGCAATCTGGAGCTCTTTCAGTATGGAATATTTTAGAATGCCTTTGTGTCCTCGGGTATCCTTTGTTGAACTGTAGGTTCTATCAGAGAGTAGAATACATCAAGCTTATGTACCCAGCCATAGTCACTTGAACAATTTTTGGATGAAATGATAAATAAATGCCCTTATGTGGAGGGCTGCAAATCTGGGAAGTGCTTAGATAAAAGTAATGAAGGTAGATGAAGAGAAATGCTATAAAGCCTGAATGATTGCCATTTTCAGAGGAAAAAAAAAAGGTAGTAGAAAGATTTAGTAGCAGTGCTCTAGGAAATCTGGTTTGTTGTATGAAAGCTAATGATTATGCAGCTCTTCATAATTTCCACTGATGTCTATGAAAGGAAATTAAACTGAGGAACCTGAGATTATCATCAAATGTAAGGAGGAAACTCTGTGATAGAATGGAACATGGCAACAGAAGAAATAGCGTACTTGTCTTTCAAATTTTTTATGACCATTTGGGTTATGTTTTGGGGCACAATTACCCCCAAATTCTTGGTTGACACATGATTCCTGATACCAAATACTAATTTTGTTTTACAAAAACATTATTTATGTTTAAAATTATTTCATCACTGTCCCATTTGGTTTTTTAAACATGGACAATTGATATAGATGTGATCTAACTTCTGGTGGCGGAGTGATCATTTCCACTCCGTACTTGAATTGCCTTCTTGTCAGATCCACATTTTGTTCCTTCTTCATAGGATGGATTTACAGCATGTGGAGACACAGTTCTTAGTAAAAATGACTCTTACTTTTAAAATATCATTTTATTATCTTAAAGAGGTCAGATAAATACAGACACAGCAGAAAATATTCTATAACTCTTGAAAGATGTGATGACTGAATCAACAAGTTGATTAGTTGCTGTCAGTTTCTACCTAAAAAAAATAATGAGTCAGAGGTAATATTTATTTATTTATTTTTTTGTTGAAAAGGAACATTTAAATATTGGAGCACATAAGAGAAAAAATGATATATTTGAAGAACTCTTTACTAGTAGGATAACTTGTTAAATTAAAAATTATTTGTGTCTTTTTAGTAATAATTTTTGCATTACCTCCTTAGTGCCAGGCACTATGTTTTTAAAGTTTAGCTTCATTATTTCAAAACAATCCTGGAAATTTTCAAGAGAATTAGTGGAGTAGACACTGTAAAATTATTTATAGTCTAAAATTGCTTTTTCTTTTATAGTGTCTTTCCTGCAGTCTCCCCAAACTCTCCCAACTGAACAACTCCCATTGTAAGCATCAAAATTGTTTTCCACTGTGGAATGAACAGAGAAGATTTTTTTTTTTTTTTAATAAGAACATGTATTGGGTACAGCCTACTTCTTACATTTACGATTCCTACAAGAGGTAGAGTTCCAATTTTCCGTTTCATTGTAAAGTATTATGGGGTTGGGGGGAGCCTGGGAGACCTGGTCGCCCTCCTGACATCAAGTCTGTAATGCACAGCTGCTTTGTGCAGAGGTTGGAAAGAGGTTGGCTGTCTTGTTTAATACCTCACAGGAAGTACATATTTTTGTGTCTGTTTTATCTGAATGACAGGTTGTACGTAAAAGGTGTGGAGAGATTGTGAATGTTGGGATTCTGAGCATGTCTGAATGTAGTCCATCAAGTGGAAGTGTTAGAAATTTCCGCCTGATTGTTGGCAGTCTGCTTGGGCAACATGAGGAAGTGAGTGAGGATCCCAGTCCAAGGGACAAGAACCAAGGCAACATATTCTTGTAGTGTTCATAATGACACAAAAAATCATTTCTTCTCTTCTCTTAGCCTGTCTTTAAAAGATCTTGTCAACCTATCTAGGGTCATGAATGTCTTAGCCAAGAAATGTTGTTGATGAACATAGAAGGGACATTTTTACAAGGACCGAATGAATACAACCATATAAACAGCGTGTGTGTTAGTCAGCTTTTCGTTGCTGTGACATACTACCTGAACAAATCAACTTAAAGGAGCAAAGGATTGATTTTGACTCAAAATTTCAGAGGTTTCAGTCCATGGTTGACTGGCTCCATTTCTTCTGTACCTGATGAGGCGATACATTATGGAGGAAAGTGTGATGAAGCAAAACTGTTCACTTCGTAGTTGGCCAGGAAGCAAAGAAACAGAGACAGAGAGGTAGAGGCCTGGGACAAGATGTGCCCTTCAACAACATGCCCTCAGGGACCTACCCTCCAACCAGGCTCCACCTTCTTCTGTTTTCACTGCCTCCCAATAACACCACCAGCTGGGGATCAAGCCTTCTACACATGAGCCTTTGGGGAATGTTCCAGATCCAAATCATAATGGCATGGTCAATTTTACTTTTATTTATGCAATTCTCAGGACCAGTGGACCCTGGATACATTGAATATTTAAATATATGAAGTGTTTAGGAACCTTTCTGGGAGCTGCCTGGGAATAAACCTTTTCTTGAATACTTTTGTGTCAAGAGGTGGCATATTGGAATAGGAATTCCGGCTTTGAAACTTTCCATTTGTTAAAAAAAAAAAAAAAAAAAAACCCTCAGTGTTGAGTTGTAATATTGTTTCTTTCATTTCCATTCACCCAGAGTGGTTTTGCCCTCTGGAGATAAAAACAGTCAAGTCTCGTCTCATTTTAAGGCCAGCTTTCATGTATTTGTTTTTAAATCCTGGAATGTGTTATATCCATGTCATGTTTTTCTTACTGAATATCTGCAGTAACCTCATTCAATATTTAATGTTTTCCAAGCCCTCTTTGGGAAAGACTCTGGTTGAAATTTTAAAATGAGGATTAGACATAACATGCTGGGAAGTAGTCTGAGTTGGGATTCCATTACTGAATTGTTACCAAGGGCAATTATTTTAGAGACAATCACTCTTTTGACTTACAGGGAACTACAGTTCACCCAGGCATGTGTAATTCCATTTGTCCTAGGATTACTAATTATTTTATTAACTTTAATAGTAATATCTATATCTTCTTTGGTGAATAAAGATTTATTAAATTTTATACAGAGAAATTTCTATTGGGGTCAGACTATCCAATGATGTATATATATATATATTTGACAAGATAAAATTGCCTCAAATTCTCCTCAAATACACCTGCATAGTAACTCAACAAATATTTATTGTCTATTGATTGCCAAATACTGTGCAATAAGCTAGTAATAGAAAATTATTTAAGATGCGCCTTATAGTTTAGTGGGAGAGACAAATTTTATGCAGATGATTTCAATACCTTTTGCTTATTCTTAAAACAGTACTGAGAACCATCTGTGAACTTATTTTAACCTTTTGAAAAGATCCTTTTCTTTTCTCTTTTCCCCCACCCCTTGAAACCTACAAGATAACAAATCTAATAATTTGTAACATTTTATTATGGTTCTAGAAACATCCCCTTCACATTTCCAGAGGCATAGTCTGTTCTCTCTGAAGTTATGGAACAAGTTGGTCTGTGTTCTTACAGTGGCTGACATCATAAGAGTAATTCATGATTTAAAAAATGTACAGCATCTTTCAAAGCATTTTGTCAACTGGTTCCCCTAGCAATTTATAGTCACATTATTTGATAGGATGACAGGGGTGGCCTTGAGGTTCTCCTATACAATAGATTTACAGTCTCTGGAAAGGAGCTATTTCACACCTCCCTTGCTCTGTGGATTTCTACTGTTTCACTCTCCATTAAGCAAGAATTGCCTCATTGGCAGGATGCAGTTCTGATGTGTTTGGTGAGTTCAGATGGTATTGAAAAAAATAAAAACCTGAGCTCCCCCCAATTTTCTCAAGAAAGTTCTTGGCTGACCCTGGCCTTGTTGCCCATGGTGGGTGAGTGTTCCAGTTCCAGCTGACTTCAGTCCCACTAGTCACAAAATCTCAAGTGTGAACTCCCATCCAGGTTTAATTCACTTTATCAGCCATTATGGCCTTTGATTTTGTGGCCTGAGGCAGCTCCTAAGTCACAGATACAATATCTTAGTTTATCTTATTGTTATGTCTCAAGTGTTTTTTAATGTTTTATGAATAACAATTGTAGAACGCAGTTATATTTCAGTGAGAGAAGAGAACAACCAGGCAGAAGCAATTCTTATGCTGTCAAAATGACTTATTAAGTAGATAGAAAAAACAGCAAAAATTATTTATTGAAATGTATCTATAGCTTAAGATCTTCATGGAACTGTTATTTTTTTCCCCTTAGGTAAAAGATAATTTGACACTCAATAGTTAGCCATTTTATGACTGAATCTGATTACTATGTTTTGTAGGTCACTGAAATGATTCTGGAAATGTCTCTTGAAGTTTGGTAAGTTAATTAATTTAATTAGATGGAAAATATTGTGAGTGATCCACTGAACTTTTGTGTTGTTAAAAAGTATACTTTTTATATATGAAATAATTGTAACAGTTTTGAATACACACAAGTGTATTAATTTTCTGTTCCTTAGCTATCTCTTTATTAGCTAAAAATATTAAAAACATAATTCTAACATACCTTGCTTAATTTCCCAGTAAGTTGGTGGTTAGATAATAACTGTCGAAATAAGTGCTTTTTGTAAGGGCCCTCTCTAGTAACATATCTGTTTCCTTAGAAATGGATGTAGTTTTTTAAGTCTAATTTCCATTATTGATTCGGATAGTTATTCAGAAACATGAAAGTGAACATAAATAGGAATCTATAAATTTTTTTTAAAGTAGAAAAAGTGAAAATCGAAATTGACTTTATTCCTAGTGCTCAGCAGGACCATGAATGGTGAATTTCCATTGCATTGCTCTTTCAAAGTGGCCTCCAAATATGAACCTTGGGAAATAAATTTCTTTATTTACAAAAGGTGATGCTGAGGGGAGCCATGTCTGCACTCACCCAGCTGATCTCTGATCTAAGGCTGAGCTCAGTGGAACCCACCTCCCTCAAGTTCTCTGCATATCTGAACTTTCCCCATAGAAGCTGATTTTAGTTGGGTTACATGTTTTACAATGACAATACACAAATTAGCACAACATTCTTTTGTCTTGTAATTTGCCCAATGAATGATGATGGATTTATTGGGTTGAGGCATCTCAGTCTCTTGTGTTGATCCCTGGAACATGTGGATTTGATTTAGTAAATGATAAATTTCCATAGCCTCTCAACATATGTGAACAAAAATCAAAAGATAGTACAAGTTAAATTATGTATCATTATTTTGTATTAAGTTGATTCTAGCCTAAAAGTGGTATATATCTGGCAGGAGATCAGAAATATTTTTGTGATTTGACTATAAAGCAATGCTACTTGTTCCAGTGAGGTGATTAGGACCACCTTGTGTAAAAGAAATGGTCTTTAACAAGAACACAGTTGCTAAATAGATATAGAAAAAGCCAACTAAATAACGTACATTCATCTAGAACTAACTTGGTATCTCTTTATAAGGAAATTTAATCATACACTTTTTATATGTTAATTTATATCTTGACTCTAGGATAGAAATGCTTTTCATCAAAGAAAGATTTAATTCTGAGAAAAAAATTTCCATATAATGCCTTCCATAAAACCAAGAAAGACAATTGATTGGAAAGTCAAACATGATACATAAAAGAAGAAATAAATGAACCACAATTCTATTACATATTTGTAAGATTACTTCTCAGCATTTAAAAAATTCTCCTCCAGATATTTTTTTTACTGATAGCTCTGGAACACCTATTCTCATTACACTGTTCATAAATTTTTGAAAATCTTGATTCTTTTATCATGCTTAATATGTTATAGAGAATATGGGTTCCAGAATTTGAAGTCCTGTATTTAAATCTACTTACTTACTGATTATGTTAATGGTTGAAAGTTTTCAAATCGCTTTTTTGCTCAGTGATAAAATAAGAAAAGAATACTTTACAACCATTTTGAGTGTCATGATTAAATAAATTGCTCTTTCTGAAAACCACATGCTATAGGAAACTTTCAAACATGTATACAATATGTTTATAGTGGTGCTGTTTATAAAAATTTTTAAAAAATTGGAAATAACTATAATGTTGATAGATACATCATGGTATATTCATATAATGAAAATATTCCACAATAGTAAAAATGTTTAAATTACTTCTGTTTACTTAAATACAGATGATTCTCAAAGACAAAATGTTCAATGGAAAAAATCATTTCCACTGATAAAATTTATGATAAAATTAAAAGTCTTCAAAAGATCCTCTATATTTAGGAATATATATATATGTGTACATATATGTACATATATACATATATATTCCTAAATATAGAAGATATTTCATATATATATGTATATATATACATATATATTCCTAAATATAGAGGATATTTCATTGTCTTTTATATATATATATATATATTCAAAGCATAAAGATGTACAGTGGAATGATAAAGACCAAATTTAGGTAGTAATTTGCTTTAAGAAGCAGAGAAGACAATAAAATTGAGGGAAATTCATAGGGACAACTGTACAAATGAGATTTTTATCACTTAAAGTGGATTGAAGACACCTAATCTATCACAATTAGTAACAATAGAGAAAATCCAACCCCAGACTAGACTTGCAATATGTGAATTCACTATCTTGCTCTTTTGTACCCTTACGTGATTTTCATAATAATCACGTTTAATAACTATATAATCCAATGCTTTGATGTACTATAACTTAATGGCCATTTCTTTAATGTTGATTAATGTGAATAAATGACCTTGTCAAAATTTACAACTACTTCCTTTAAAGTAGAGTCTAGAAATAGCATTACTAAGATCAATGTTGATGGACAATGTAGTTATTTCTGCTGTTCGTTGTCTTTCAAAATGTTTTGCCAACTTATATTCCTAAAACAAATATAAGAGAAAAAATCATATTGCTTTATCTTTTCAAGAATTGGAAAATAATTAAAGATTTATTCTTATATATTTTCATTATTAATTATACTTCCTGTTTGGTGAGTGGAGCGATTTGCCCTTCAGGAATCAGTAATTAGTGTACTTTGTGTAGTGATTGTATATTAGTATAGAGAACACAGCCCAGGGGTTCTGTGGTTTCTTCTTTCATTCTATATTTTACTAGGAAAGTGTTTTCTACTGAAGCACTTTTATTGTCCTAATGTATGACTTAGTAGGGGCCTGTTTGCTTGTTGGTTTCTTCTGAACATCTCATGTTCTCCTCTTTCCCCCTCTATTTTTCCTAAAGCATGCTTTGGAGCATGCTGCTTTAAGGTATCCATCATTTTGTACTCTTGATTTAGGTCCCTGAGGGAAGCAGGGGGCCACATCCGTGTTTCTGCCCAGGTCTTGAGGGGCTGGTTGCAGATGGGGTGAGGCTGTGGGACACTGGCTTTGACTCCTGTTTTATATCACAGCTCAAGCCCAGACCTGCGGTTCAGCATGGCTCTGTGTGATCAGGAGAAGACTTTCAGGCAGCTGAGAAAAGAGAACATCAAAGAGAAGATGAAGAAACTCTTGGGCCCCCAGAGGAGTGAAGGATTGAATTCTACCCGGGATGTGAGTTGGAAAATTTTTCAAATGTTATTAAAATATTGGACGCTTTCTCCAAAAATTTCATCCCAATGTGGCACTATTATGATTGAGCATTTCGCTTTCAACTTCTTCAGGTAAGGCAAGTGATTCAAAAATGAAAACTATTGGAGGAAGGTCATCTGGAACATTGTTCATATTTGGTTATACTGATTTTTACCTTAATTTTTAAAGCAGTATTTGTTTTACAGAAAAACTGAGCAGAAAGTACAGGAGAGTTCTTATATACTTCCTGTCCCCACACATATACAATCTCTCAGTTTTAGTCAGGGTTCTTGAGAAGTAGAGACATATCTATATCTATATCTACATCTACATCTATGATTTATGAGAGGAATTGGCTCATGTGGTTATGGAAGGTAAGAAGTAGAATGATCTACTCTTAGCAAGTTGTAAAGTCAGAAAGTCAAGTGCAATTGGGTCTGAGGCCAAAGGCTCAGAACCCGAGGATCTAATGGTATAGCTGCCAGGCTATGTATAGGCCTACCTACTGGAAATGACCGAGGAGAGGAATGCGGGTGTATGTTTTAGGTCCCAAGGCCCGAAAAGTAGGAGTAAAGATGTCCAAGGGCAGGAGAAGACAGATGTCCCAGCTCCAGGAGAGAAAGAGAGAGAGAGATAATTTGCTTTTCTTCCACTGTTTTGTTCTTTTCAGGTTTGGATGATGCCCACCCACACTGGTAAGGGCAGATCTTCTTATTCAGTTAACTTACTCAAATACTAATATTTTCAAAAAACACCCTCAGAGATACACCCAGAAATAATGTTTTACTATCTAGTTATCCCTTACCCCACTCAAGTTGACACATAGGTTAACCATCATACTCTTGTACTATTAACACTCTACACCAGAGTGGTACATTTGTTACAATCAATGAACCTACACTGACACATTATCACCCAGAGTCGGTTGTTCACTTTAGGGTTTGCAATTGCTGTTGTACATTCTATGGGTTTTGACAAACATATAATGGCATGTATTTACCATTACAGTTATCATACTTTCAATGTCCTAAAAATCTTCTCTGTTCTACCAGTACATCCCTGCTTCTCGTCTAATCCCTGGCAACCACTAATCTTTTTATCTTTTATAGTTTTGCCTTTTCTGAAATATCACATAGTTGCGGTTTCGTAGTATGCAGCCTTTTCAGAGTAGTTTCTTTAGCTTAATAGCATTAATTTTAGGATCCTGCATGTCTTTTCATGGCTTGATAGCTCTTTTTTTTTTTTTTTTTTTAGCACAAAATAACATTTCATTGTCTTTTTAGCATGAAATCCATTTCACAGTTAATAAATTAACATAATTTTTTAAAGAGGCATAATTTATGCAGAGATATTTATTTCATGAATATGAAAAATTTAGTTCAGATATAAAAGGATTATTGAATTAGTTTTAATAGAGACTAAAACTAAGCTGTGGACTCATCATTACCCAATAAGAAGAAAAATATTGTGAGTTTTTTAAAATGATATTCCAATTAACAATGTAGTTAAATGTGATAGGGGAGGAAGAAAGGAAATGTTCCAGATTTTCCATATTTCAAAGCAGGGAGTTGAACGATACCATCCAAAATTGATCAAGTAGTTAAAAGTAATAACTTCCACATTTTAATATTTTTCATAAGTCCAATTATAGAGAGATGCTAGAATAAAATATTGTGTGAACCAATATTCAAAGTATAAGCCTTCCATGGTACTTTGATGTTTTTTTCCTTTAAATTCCAATAAAGTATAATGTGTTCAATAGCATATTTATAATCTAGTTTTTGACTCTCCATTTTTCTCTTTACCTATCTAGATCTATCTAAAATCCTATGTACTTTTCTCTCTTTTTCTCTATTGGTCTTTCTACCTGAAATTTACACAGATAAATCACTGTAATGAGACTCATCAAATGATAATGGTGAAGTTTCTTGTTGGTGGCATATTAGGTAATTTTTTACATATTTCCTTGAGATTTTCTGTTAACAGTATTTGAATTGAACATAATTTATTTTCATAAAATAATATTTTATTAAATACACAAGTAAACATATATGTGCACACTCCTATATGTACACACACCAAACAGGGTTTTCAGCAGGGATTATTACAAATTAAAAGCAAAATACAACTGGAAATGAGACATACATTCTGACTAAGGGATCCAGGTGAGCACTCATGTTCCACAGGTGACTGCAGATTTCCAGGTGTGATTTAGGTGGCCATAGGAGTGGAACACCAATCTGCTAATGCTAAAGTGGCTTTTGCTGGTATAAAATGCTGCTTCTGGGGACTTTCTTTTGGAAAAGAGGAGAAGTGAAACCTCTATTTAAGAGAGAGAGAGAGAGAGAGAGAGGAATGAATTCTAATTCTCCATCTTATTTCCCACCTTAGCAGATCCCTGGTAAAACTCATGGTTAGTTACAGTGTGAGGTTAATTATTACTTGAAAAAACTTTCTTCTCTACCCATTACTAAGAAATTCATAGTTTCTTGGGAAGATTGTGTGTGTGTGTTTAAACATAGATAATAACCCTTTCTGTAGCAATTCTTCTTTTTATCTCCACATGATTTTTCAGGCTCTTTTCGTTTTCATTCCTTGTCATTCACTGTGATGCTGTGCTAGGTGGTGGAGAAGAGTGAAACTGAGGTGCTTAACATTGAATAGTCACTTTCCCTAGTCACATTAAAGCCTAGTTTGGGAGAAAGATATCTAAGCAAAAATAAATAAATAAATAAATAGAGATGTGTTGAGTTAATAGAGATGTGAGTGGAGGTAGGGACAGTGGAAAGCCTGTGTGCCAATCCTTGAGGAATCAATAAGCTTGTTAGAATGAAAAATAAGGAGACTGATCCCCTGTTAATTTATGTCATTTGAGATCTCAGCTTCCCTCCCTGGTTGCATTTCAGTTCTTGCAGCTGTCTAGCTGTCTTTCTTCCTTCCTTTCCTTTCCTTTCCCTCCCTCCCTCCCTCCCTCCCTCCCTCCCTTCCTTCCTTCCTTCCTTCCTTCCTTCCTTCCTTCCTTCCTTCCTTTTTCCTCCCAATTGCTGACCTATCCCCTTTCCTCCTTCTCAGAGAGAATCCAGAGTGATTCCCCTGCTGTGGTATCGGCGTGCTTCAGAGCCCATACCTACCTTTTGCAACTTGCCTCTGAGTTCCGTGCAGAGTTTCCTTTGCTTCCAAACGCAGGTCCACATCAGGAATGGATCACAGACCATTCCTGTTAGGAACCCCAGTATCTCCATTAGTCAGTCCTTCCCCGGCCACTCCACCCCTGTATTGTCAGCATCTCCTTGGGTATGGATATGTCCTAAATAAATATAAACATGCTCTAAACTTCAATTTAAGAAGAAAGGGGGACAGAAATATCTCCCTGGATTCTGCATTCTCTCCTTTCTCTCTCTCTCTCTCTCTCTCTCTCTCTCTCTCTCTCTCTCTCTCTCTCCTTGCTTTCAGACGCAAACTTCTCCAATTTTGTCTCCACAGGAGTCCATTTGACTTCCTGTGTCCTTCTGGTTCCTGCCCTCAGTGTTTTATTGCAGCTGTTTCCCTAATGCTGAGGCATGTGTCTCGCCCTCTCTTAACTACCCTTGAAGCTGCCAGGGGCAAATGTCTTCCTACTTTTTGAAACATTCTCTTTCCTTCACTTACTAATTTCTGGTTTTCATCATGCCTCTTTGATATTTTGCCAAGTTTTCTTATGGAGCACTTTAAATATGGAAGTTGACCTCAAGATTCTGTTCTAGGCCCTCTTCTCCTCTTTCTGTATCCTTCATTGGAGAAATCTTTTGCCCTCCCAGAATGTCACCCAGCTCCTTGCACTAGGGATGTTCACACCGGCATCCATGGCTCAGCGCCTCCTCAGGCTTCAGCCCTGGTCATCTGCAGAGCTCCTTCATGTCCTCAATTGCATACCTCCCAACGCTCCAACTCAGCCTGTCTACGTCCCAAGAAAAAAATCTTTCTTCTCTGGGTTCTTATTTGTTCCTATTCTCCTTCTTTCCACATTCTGTTTACTCTGAATTCAGAGTGACCTTTTTGAAGGTCACAAATTTGGTTATACCAATCTCGAGATTAAAATTCTTCCATTTCTCTTCGGATCTCAGTCACACTAGATATCTCCAACTCCATTTTTTTTTTTTTTTTTGGGGGGGGGGGGGGGGGTACCGGAGATTGAACTCAGGAGCACTCAACCACTGAGCCACATCCCCAGCCCTATTTTGTATTTAGAGATAGGGTCTCACCGAGTTGCTTAGTGTGTCACTTTTGCTGAGGCTGGCTTTGAACTCATGACCCTCTTGCCTCAGCCTCCTGAGCCACTGGAATTATAGGAGTACACTACCACACCCAGCTCCCATTCCATTTTTGTTAGTTTATTCCACATGCATACATCTTCTCCCAATAAGTGCCTCTTAGTTTCATATCTCTGTAGAACCCTTTTCTAACTAAAGTTTTTTTGGTTCTTCAATATGTTGCTCATGTTCCACACTTTGCTGGCTAACACACTCCCATTATTAATCCACACAGAGATCACTTCTCCTCAGACTCTCTCCTTCAGCAATCCCTCCTGCCTCTCCCCAAATTTAGGTTAGGACTCTCATTTATATCCTTTATGGCACTTTTATGCACCTTATCTACTCAGTGTTTACCACAATTATACTTTAAAACTAACTGCACAAAAACTTGATTTAGTATTTGTCTTCTTCATTAGAACGTCAATTTTACGAGGACCAGGACAAGATCCACATTGTTCATCTCTATATTCCTAGCATGCAGCTGAGTCTCTAGAATGGTAAACCCCCAGTGAGTATTTTGTCATATGAGTGGGGCACAGGTTTCGACAACAGTTTGGCATTGCATCATGGGACAAATTTGCTAGAAGGAGAGAGAGTGAGATTAGGTCTTGAGAGGGAGGAAACCATTGTTAGGCAGAGAGTTTGGATGAAAAGATCCCAGTTTAGACTGTCATATTAGAAATGTACATGAGAGGCACTGGTGCAGGTGTTCAGTTGGTATTTATTCTTGGGTGCTTCAAAAGAGAAACTAGGTGGCAGGCCCTGGCACTCCTTCTGTAGAAGGGAACAGGAAGTGTTCCTTGGAATAGAATCTTTGGCTTCAGATTCATGCAAATGGCAGTAAACAGACTTTTCTGCAACAGATAGGAAATGAGGTAATCATTCTTTTTCTCTGACTATCCTTCAAATTATTAAATTCATGTGTTTGGAAGTCATTTCTAGAATTAAAACCACTTGTTGCTGTGTTGGTTTTGGTCTGCATTTTTTTTTCTCTTGGCAGAAATAACCAACAGAGACACAATGGACACCATGCATTCCCACAACAAAAATAGTATTTTCCTATTTTTATGTTGCTCTTTGGGTCTCCTAAGTTCCCACTTCCATGCTTCTTGCCCAAATCTTCACTTTAGCTCAGTACTGAGCAACTAGCCTCAAGGTGTATAAGAGTGGATTGTCCTTCTTAAGGGAACAGTACTAACCAAGATTCAATGCAGGCAGAGACTGTGGCTATCTTGTTTTGTTTTAAAAAATTAGACAGCATCAGTGTCATACCTCAATGTTGAATTAAAATGTTGAATGAACTTGGGCACGTTGTTTTACCACTGCTTCACTTACCAAATGGAGATAACGTCTCTTAGAGTGGGATGAAAATGAGTACCAATACTTGCCAATTGCCTTAGAGCACATAGTAATTACTCAATAAAACTAGTTATTGTACATATTTTTGGATGCTGCTGTTCTATAGCATAGGATCCTGGGATAATAACTTGTCAAAGTTAGTAACTTTAGTTTTCCTGCCTGCATAATAAACTAGTCAAACAGTTACAATTTTTGCTAGTCTAAGACTTTAAAAAAATCTATTGATTTTAATCATTTTGGGTGGAAACCCTTCTAAATTATGCAGTTCCTTGCTCAGATTGGCATTCCCACGTTGGCTTCCTCTGTGATGAGATTCCATCATCACACTTCTCTGTGTCCACTTAAAGCCATTTCTTCAAACTGTCCTTTCTCTCAAATCTGATAAACAAGGTTGTTGTTAGAACACCGTCTCTAATTTGTGTAATTTCTCCCTGAATGAAAGGCTGAGAGCATTCCGATGAGCAAGATAACATAAGGCTTGGCATGCAGGAATCTTCAATGTATTGTGATGGTTCAGAGGCCACTCTGAAATTTTCTTGTTTTTGGTCAGATGAAGTCTCCGGTTATGATCCCTTATGTGAAGAGAAATGTTACTAGATAGAGTCTGTGATTCCTAAAATCTGACTATAACAGCAGAGTTGGTTGGAGACTAAAATCTGGAATTAAGAGTGTTGGGGAAATGAGAAGGAGAGAACGCAGTGTTCATCAGAGAACAGTAGAGGAAACCCCTCTCCTTGAGGACAGCTGTGAGGGCAGCACTCCAGTTTAAACAGAGAGCTTGGATGAGAATCCAAGTGTAAAGTGGGCCTTCAGCAATGCATTCCCTCTGTGCTGAGGTTTGTCACATAAGTCAAGATAAAGACTAGAGAAAAGGGAGAAGGGGACTAGTCAGGCAGAGGGAGGCAGGGCAAAACAGTTTCTGAACAAGGTAATAGAATTAGATCTTGAATGTCAGTAGGAATTTTTATTCCTTTGTTTATGCATTTCCTTCCTCTAGAATACTTCTTATTTCTACCCTTCTTCCGACAATGGCACTTCATGCTGTTGATTCTCATTCCCCTTATGTGTTGTAAACTTGAAGGGCAGACGGTGGCGGAGGACTCCCCATGGAAGAGTTCAGGAAGATGAACAGAGCAGGTGTGGGCTTGCACTGGTCGGATTTCTGGATGAGATATGGAGCTGAGTCATTCTCATCTGAGGTCTTAGTGGGACATAAACAGCGTAGGAATAAAATGGCGCTGCAAAGTGGTCAGGAGAGCAGATGTCCCAGAGACTCCAGTTGCAGTCACTGAGGGGAAAACTCTTCAAGGGGCACAAAGGCCCTTGGCTGTTGAGGATGAGGCTGTTGAGGATGAGGATGGGGACCAAGGCCAGTTAAGCAAGTTCATGCCTGTGGGTGGCGATGAAGGAGGCAGCATGTGGGGCAGGTGCTAGTTTTGCTGCAGGTATTGTTGCTGATCTGTAACAGATTGACCTCCGACATGAGTGTGTGGGGGGGCTCATCCTAGCATTTGAAGCCCTGAATAGAACAAAAAGACTGGGCTCCCTGAGCAGAAGAGACTTCTCCAGCCCTTCCTGCGGAACTCACCTGTACCCTCAGCTCTCCCGAAGTTGCTGACCTACATACCAGATTTGCACTTACTAGTCTCTGCAGTTGTGCGAGCAAATTCATTATCATAAATTTCATTTTGAATATGCACATCCTATTGGTTCTGTTTTTTTTTTTTTTTTTGGAAACCCTAATACAGCAGGTAAGGACATTATTTTGTTTTTTTAAACAATTGTTCAGTCTTAAAAAACTTATGAGTTATGTAAAATGCCCTTCAAACTTTATAATTTTATTCTTCAAGGAAGGAAATTAATGATATGGATAAGCCTGTGTATCAAGACATTAAATCAAAACACATGGCTTTTGGTAAATGAAAATTCATTTCCTATAATCATATGAGAAAAGTATGAGAAATATTTACTGACATCATCTATAGAGGAATGCTAATGATATTAAGTCTAAATATAACCTAAATATAGCCTAAAACTACTCAACCTAAAAACTACTACAATAAACTACTCTGATTTATTTGACATCCAGGGCTAATACTTATACCTTATAACTCTCCAGCTATGTCTTTGAACATTATTTCGGAATGACCAGAGTATTAAATCATCGAAATTTAGCCTTCATTTATTGGATAAAATTGTGCTAATATTATTTAAAGTCATGCATGAGTGTAAAATATAGTTTGACTAAACACACAGCAGTTTCTCTCAATAGAGATCACTCTTTCCTTTCTAATCAATGACAAAGAGAAAAGAATATGAATTTTGGTGCAGGTCACACCATAGTCCAAGTCCTGGTTATTACTACTTATAAGCTACTGGCCCGTGAACGTAGTCTTAAGTATGCTTTACTCTTTTGAAAAATGGAATTAAAAGACTCTGGTTTGAGAGCTGGGAAGATTTGATGAAATAGATTATGTCAAAATGTCCACAATGGAGCCGCCACACAAGTATGTCCTTGATGCATCAGATTTCCTTTCCTTTTTTAAAAACAGCTCACATTTATAATTTTATAGTTTTAAATTCATATTTCTGTATGAGTTATGAAACAGAGAATTTCACTAGCTGTAAAAAGTTCCAGGATCATTAGTTTTACCCAATATTTTTCTAGGTAAGTCAACTAAGCCCTGAGAGCATTTTCTTTGCCTCAGGGCACAACGTTTATTTTGGGAAGAGCAGGGGACATTTGTTTTCAGAGTCAAAGTGAAATAACAGCTTTCTTATCTGACTGATCCAGCTTTGAACCCAGACACCACTTTCTAGTTTTGCAACCCTGGGAAAGCTGTCTTTGTGTCTCAATTGCTTTATCTTTAAAAAGAGGACCTTCCTTCTGCAATAGCAGCCTTAACATGTGCTTTGCCTTAAGCCGTTCGGATTCCCATTTTCTCAAATTCCTTTGAATCCACCTGCTGCAATAAGAAGACAGGCCTTCTGGTCCCCAAATCACATCCCCTTTCCTACTTACGCCTGTTTTGGCCTGACCTTGAGCCAAGTGCTTGGAATAATAAATTTACTCTTGTGCTTATTATCATCACACTGCCATAGACTCAACCTTTTTCAAGGTCTAATTCAGATTCCTGCTCTTTGATCCAACCTATGTGGCTACCATTCTCCCACTTTACAACCCACCCCAGCTTTCTTTCTTAGCTTTATTTCCTCTTTCAGATGAACTATCAAGAACTTGTGTTTTACTTTATTCATGATTTTGAAATCAATGTTTGAGCATTGCACTGATCTCACAGCCATTTAAATTACCCTGATGCCCTGCACGGGTCAGGTGTGTTTTTGTTCTGAGTCTCGAGTTTGATTGGGTTGGATGCTTAGGGTCTTTTGATTTGAGGCCAATTGGTGTTAGAGAAGATTCGGGGTTAGGAATTTGCTCCTAGACACCCTAGTATTCACTGGTCTACCTAACTCTCATAAAACACAACCTCTGCAGACTTTTCCATCCATATTTCAGAGTTGCATAATGCCTTCCAACCTTGTAAAACAATCATTCATGGATATGTCATAGTAGGAAGTGGGCACTCGGGGGTTAGTTTCTGAGTACCAGAAACACAGTGCATTCATCATGTCTTGTGTTCAGCTGGGCCAAGACTGAGTGCACTTGTCCTCTCAGCCTGGCTTTGTGCCCTGGGATCCTTGCTCTGGGTAAGGACATCATCATCTGCTAGTGAGCAGAGCTGGACACCCTGACCATCTGACCACATTCCTTCCTCTCTTTTCCTCCCAGCATCAGATCTGTCACCAAGTGTTAAATGTTCTGTAAACATAACTTGAAAGAACGGTGCTTACTCAACTGCAGATTACCAGCTATCAGATCTTACACAAGAAGCACCATCCTTTTAGGACTTTTATCTACAAAATGGGCAAAAAACTGTTTTGTGCTCACCTTGTGGGATTTTTAAGAGAATCAAATAAAACACTGCACCTAAAAGCCAGGCAAAAGATTACAAAGGCTGAACAAATACAGCGTTTTTTGTATGTTGGTAGAGTAAATCATCTTACTAAAACCTGGTTTCCAGTTGACTTTGTTTCTTGGTTTACATGAAATAAAATATTATTTTCTTCTCTTTTAAAACTGGCATTACAAAGCATAAGCGAACTTGTACTTCTTCAAGACAAAGCGTGGAATGTACGACATAAAAATCAAGACTACAGGGAAATGTGCTTTGTGATTTTTACTCTGTGCATGGTCTCTTTTCCAGGTGCCCGTGGTGGCAATCTTGGGTTCCGGTGGGGGTTTCCGGGCCATGGTGGGATTCTCCGGTGTAATGAAGGCACTGTATGAATCAGGAATTTTGGATTGTGCTACCTACGTTGCTGGTCTTTCTGGCTCCACGTGGTTAGTATGCATGTTTGATTTTAGTTTTGTCGTTCTAGAGGTGTAGAATTCACCCAAATGAAGCATTAGAAGAGAAAACGGATTTAGAAAATTGAGCATTAACTTCAAATTATTGAAATGTTCCAGCCTGATACCACAGTCCACTCAACATGTTTATTTAAAAGACAACTCTATGCCTAGTAAGGACTTTGCCATACATCTGCTTCTTTTAAGCCTGTCTTTAACGTACAATGTAGTTAAAACATAAAAAGATACCAACTGAAGAGAATTCTAGATAAATATCACAGAAGTGGAATAACATACTCCACCCATAATTAATTTAATCTTCCTATAATTTGCTGATTTGTGGTCTTTCTGCAAACATGTCTAAGTCTATATGATTCACTAGGTATTCATTTTCTTCTTTAGGGCAAATAGAAGGAAATGCAAGATACTATAGAATACAGAAGAAGAAAAACAATGATTTAAAGCAAAGATATGATATGTTTCACTGATTTGTTTCTGAGTGTGACATTATTTCCTTTGATGTTTTTAAGTTCAGCTACATTTAGGTGGAGAATTACAGCGTCTATATGCATAACATTTATGTCTATTGCTTTGCCTTTTAACAAATGTAAAACATTTCAGAGATGATGCTACATTCTTTCTGGTTTGCCTAGCCCCCAAAAGCCAATTGAAAATCAAATAGAAGTTCTTGCTCAGATGTGATATTCAAATCAGTACCACCTTCTTACAAAAAGTCTGACTCCAGCTTACAAGACCTTTTTAGTCACCCAGCCATGGCAATGCTTGTGTATCATAATATTCTATTTTATATGTCTAGAATGTTAAAGCATCTGTGTAATTTCTTCCTGTGAGGTGGGTATGAGTTTCTTCATTTTTGAGCTAAAGAAAATTTGACTCACAAGCCAAGTGATTCGTCCAAGATTGCCAGCACATAAGCTCATCTCCCTGTACATTCCAGTGTTCTTTCAACTAAACCACAGTCTTCTTATGGACAGCTTCATGGACCAGATAGAGTTCCACGTGTAATAATCCATAGTTTCTAAAATATTTGGCACCATATTCCGTGGTTAAAAAATAGTAACCCAGAGATATGGTTGCCACCTTCTTTATTTGTACCTCAAAATGATTTACCTCCTCTGAAAGAAGGGTGTAGCCCATCATTATTATTTCCCTTGAAGGAAAGAGCAGGCACCTGCCTGTTTAACGAGTACTGGGATGGAAAAACTTGGACCCTTACATTAAATTTCCTACTTAATCATTTTGCTATAATTCTTTCAGTGAGTGTTTTTCTGTTACTCAAAACATTTTAGATTTCTGTTGCCCATCCTGGCGTACTGCAAGAAGTTTGCTTTCTTAAACTTCTCTGATAAAGAAAGTCCAGGCATTGAGTGATGATTTGTGGTCTTTCTGCAAACATGTATGATTGTGTATGCATGGACTGAATTAGAGCTGTAGGAATTGCTTTGGTTACAGATTTGGGGCAGTGTCTTCTTATATTCTCCTGTTGAGGGGTCTGAAAACAAGTTCTATGAAATGTAATTAAGAGAATTTTAAATCTGTACACAGCTTTTATGTATGAGTAACTTTTGCTCAATCTTTCAAAGTCTTAAAGATTCTCTCTCTCTCTCTCTCTCTCTCTCTCTCTCTCTCTCTCTTCCATTTCTTTAAGGGACAGGCACTCCTTAAATCCTTACAATAGATTGACACTCAAGGACCACTTAATTTCCAAATATGACGGTGCCTTTGAAGTTCTTCTTTTCCCTGACTTCTTTGGGGGGCAGGGGACAGGAGCTGAGGCATGTTACACATTGACTTGTCCCTCTTCCCAGTTGCTCCTGTCATAACTTTTTGGCTCCCTTCCATCCTCTCGGGTCGCTCTCTATACTATATTCTCTTTGCTTCTCACAGCACCTTCCCCCTGATGCAGGCTTTCCTCCAGCATCTCCCTTGAGCTTTACTTTACCTAGACATCCCCCTTGGTGATTCATCAGCTCCTACTACTTTAGCTACCACCAACAACAGTTTAATTTGTGGAACCCCAAGTGTCTCAAAACTTAATAGACAATGACACTGCAAAGAGATTTCATAGAGGAAAGTCAAGTAAAGGATAAGTCCCAGGAGGCAAGGGTGGAAAGTGCTTTGAGATTGTGTTTTTTTTTGTTGTTGTTTGTTTATTTTGTTTTGTTTTGGTACTGGAGATTTATCCCAGGGGCACTTTACCATTGAAACACATTCCAGCCCTTTTATATATTTTTTTTTAATTTTGAGACAGGGTCTCACTAAATTACTTATAGCCTTCCAAAGTTTTTGAGGCTGACCTTGAACTTGCAAGCCTCCTGCCTCAGCCTCCTGAGTCACTGGGATTTTAGGCATGTGCCATCATGCCCACCCAAATAGTGTTTTTTTAAAAGAGAGTTTAGAACTGGGTTTGGAGAGCTTCAGTGATTTTGTCAAGAACCATTTGATAAAGTAAATAAGTGTACTTTTTGATTGTGAAAACGCAAAGGATAAGAAATGAATCGTTCCAGGGTGAAAGTGCAGAAAGTGGGAATGAGAATGTGGGACATGAAAGAACTATTGTTTCAAGCACTTTGGTCAGAAAAGGAAGAAAAGCACAGTCAATATTTGAACACAGTGTAGAGATCGAGGAAGGATTTTGATTTGTTTTCAGCACTGAAGGTACTTGAGTATTTTTGTAGAAGTCTGAAGTGAAGGAATTAGTGTGGAGGGATGGATGAAGGATAAGGAAATAAAAGGATCACAGATATAAAAAAAAAGATTCAGGTGGCCAGGCATGATGGTGCACCCCTGTAATCCCAGTAGCCCAGAAGGCTGAGGCAGGAGGATCTCAAGTTTGAGGCCAGCCTCAGCAACTTAGCGAGGCCCTAAGCAACTTAGCGAGACCCTGTCTCTAAATAAAATAAAAAAAGGTCTGTGGATGTGGCTCAGTGGTTAAGTACCCTGGGATTCAATCTTTAGTACCCCAAAAAAGAAAGAAAGAAAAAAAAGATTTAAACAGAAACAGGAGGCAAGATAGAACGCACAGATGTGAGCCATAAAAAGAGGAGACATGTCCATGAGACAGAAGAAAATGTGGTCCGATGATTCATGGTAACAATTCTGTCTTGAAAAGGATAGTGAGAAAATAAAAAGTTCAAAGGAAGGAATTCGGAAAGACTTGGAAAAACAAATTACAATTCTGGGTGGCGTAAGTTTTTGTATTCTGCTGATACGTGACCATTATTTAGCAGAAATGAGGTAACACGGAAATATCAGGAGAAGCCCTGGACCTCCCAGAAAGTTTTTTGTGAACACAGAATAGAATTCTAGATAGTACAAACTTCCCTTTTGGATACTGCCTTTATGGTAATTATTTTTGGATGTTACCTGTGTTTCATTAAATCTAGGTGTGAGCCAACCTGGAGACATGGCTTGAGTAACCTAGGGGAATGACGATGGCAGTCTGTGTTCTCTGAGGGTTTCAGCACAGTTCTCTTCCTCAGGGGCTGTTCTCTTGCAGCATTAAAGTAGCTACTGGATATTGTTTATCATAATAGTATTATTATTAATAATAACATTATTATTATTATTAATAATAATTGTTAATAGTAACCTAGGCGGTGTTATATCTAGAGCAAAATGTGAGTATCTCTGTATCTATGGACAGCAGGGCCCAGGCCATCTAATTGACTAAAATAGAATTTGAGAATAAGAACTTTCAAAGTTAAAAGTATGAAGAATTCCTGGAACATGGTAAAAGGAACAATTTTAACAGAAGTTGTCACATTAATAGGGATAGGCTCAAAAAGCAAGACATAAGTAGAAAGAACATGTTGTTTGAAGTGGGTACTAAGCTTGTCTTGGTCCCTAATGAATCCTTCCAACTTAGCACAGTGCCTCGGTTGCCTTGGGTGGTTTTTGAATGGCTAAATGAGGACATGTATAAGTGACTGCATTTTATGGGGAAAATTCTTGTAGAAATTCCTCTAAGGTTTCAGGATATTTGCTTCACAAATGTAGAAGATCTTCTCAAGTCATTCCAAATTCTAGCTGATGTATGAGAATCACTTTGATATTTTTTAAACACAAAAATTCCAAGTGTATACCTCTGAATATTCGGATTGAGCAAGTCTTGGGGATTAGGTACTGATATCTTCAAACATGAATTGTATGAGTTGGAGACAGAGATTTAACTGAAGATTTCTTCTTCTCTGCCATCATTTAGTTTTTAAAATCGCACACTTATGAGGCATTTAGATAGGTGTTGCATCAGAAAAATATGTTAAAAATGAGAGGAGATGTTTACAGAATCATAGATTAAATAAGTATAAGACCTTTTCATTTACTAATCAGTTACAGAAGCTGTTAGATCTAAGACACCTACCTTTTCGAAACTTGATTGGTATAATTGGAAATTAGTTGTTAGTTGAGAGATCGAACTACATAGTTAAAAATTGGGATCATATTTTTATACTTTAGATGGCATTATGTACACAAAAGCCAGTTATATCTGAACCTTGCACTCACGGAACTAAGGAAATAAAGAAGCAGAAAAAGCTATTTAAGATTAAATAGTTGCACAGCAAAACTAGTTGTTGCCTATTTTTCCTTTTTTAGCTATCATGAAAGCCAAAACCCAAGTGTTGGATGTGACCATAACGTCGTTATGGAAAGGATGTCCAACTCACCCTGGCCGGTTCTGAGGCATAATATTCATAAAGGTTGAACGACAAAGACCACTAGTCCAATGCCAGTGGCTGAAGTAGTTTAGGCTCTTCTGTTGCATTCCTAAGTCAGCTGCTGCATGAGCAGGGAAGAAAGAAAAGGGTTAGGATACAATGAGTGTGTTTACTTCATCCTCCAAACAGCAGAAGTGGACTGCAGTCATTCTGCAAGGAACAATAAAAGAATCGGGCTGACATCTGCATGCTTTGTGGCCCCGTGGAAAGACCTACCTCTTAAACTGTAGTGCAGAGTCTCCGATTCTAGTCAACATCTAACCCATAAGGAGGTGGTTAATGTTGGGAAGAAGGGAAGAGACCTTCTAAAGGCAATCTACCAGGCAGACGTACTTGTAAAATTATAGGTTAATTCATTTTAAAGTCCAGCTAAATATAAATGGAGAAGGGAAATCTTAGTATAATGGAAATAAGATTTGAATAATTTGTACAGATCATTCTGTGAACAGTAGGGAATGGTGACTTCCAGGAGTAGGATGCTCATACCATTTCCTTGAAACTTTGGCTTTAAAAACATTGTTTCAGTGACTAAATGGATTTCTACTGACATTAAGTCTTTGTCTGGTTATTTTACTCATATGTACGTTTCCTCATTATAAAAAACATTCAAGTCCTTGAATATAAGCAAATGCCATCATAACAATGTGTACGTTTACTGAAAATGATGAGTATCCAGAATATTAGATCTCCGTTGATGTGGATGATCATGTAGACTTTGGAAAAATTACAGGAATGGATGGATAATGTATCTTTCAAGTATACTAAGCTGTACTTAGATATTTGATGATTATACTAGGCTTGAGTTCATGATTATACTAGGCTTGAGTTCAGAGTAAACCTATTCAATTTATCTTTACCACATGGGTACAGTTATAAATGCAGTTTGTGTTAGAAAGATCTTTCAAGAATTTTGTTGTTGCTCTTGTTCAGCATGTTTTTGGGGTCTGTCACTCTCCATTTTTAAATTTATCATTATACTCAATTTTTCTGCAAGAAACACTAAATCCAATGAGAAATTCTAATGTATTGTGAAGGTAAGAACAGTTTGGTCACTAAAATGAAAATCTTGTGTAATACATGTAAAAATAAAGACCTATCAGGAAGAGGACAAATTTTGAATTCTAGTCTGCTGTTATTAATTGGGGAATATGAATCTATTATTAAAATACACCAATCCTTTCTTTCCTTGTCTTTAAAATGGAAGATCTAGATACCATTATGGGTCTTTGAGACAGCGGTTTCTGAATAATTAGCTAGCACAGTGCTCAGAACATAGCAGAGTCTCAACAAGTTAGGTTTTCTCTCTTCCTGAAGAGATGATAAGTCTTAGGGTAACCATTTTGTCTTGAATATTAGCTGGTCACTGATGTTAAAAAAATGAATGAATAAGCAAAGTTCTTCTCCTGAAGGAAATCACAATTATTGATGGATTCAGATAAGGAACAATTGCTATTCCCTGTGAGCTCTGCAGTACTAGAGATTTTGGTTCACATGAGGAAAGTCAGTAACTGAATACATATTGTCTAGATACCAAATACAAGGCTCATGGTGATTTTCAGTATCTTGTGATGATTCACAAGAGGCCAAATGTGTAGTGACCAAGAGGCTTCACAAGAAATCCCTTACCATACTTTATTCTTCTCTGGAATTTTGCTTTCAAATTCATATTCTCAAGACTTCTGAGGTCTACCTTTGGCAAGGTTTTGGGTTTTGTCAACTTGGCCAGTGAACAATTTACAAAACAAAACAAAACAAAAACCCAAAACATTAGTCAGGAGATTTACCATTCATAATAGTGGACAGCACATTTTTCTGCCGGTAGATAATCCTAACAGAAAGTCAGGTCATCAGATAGCTCTGCTACTATGGCATCCAGAGGAGTTGGTTACTTACATGACTCAAATGTTTTGGTGTTATTTGTTTCTAAAAGTCTGATAAAGATGCTCATTCTTGGCAACTAGATAGTGGACAGGAGGTCTGGCAGGGCATCCCCTGTCCTGGACTGTGCATGGAAATCCAGTGTTCCTCTGAGACTCTTTTCCTTTGCTTTCATTGTAGACCAGCTCCTTTCTGATTGATGTATTCTTTTCTAAAATAGGTTAATATCTTCAATCAGATTAATCAGTTAACCAAATATACCCACCATTGTTTATGATCAGGAGTGCCTGTTTTCTTAGGAGACTATCAGGTAATGCTCTTGATCTTTACAGATTGTGTTTTGATTTCTTTATAGGTACATGTCAACCTTGTATTCTCACCCAGATTTCCCAGAGAAAGGGCCAGAGGAGATCAATGAAGAGCTAATGAAAAATGTTAGCCATAACCCCCTTTTGCTGCTCACACCACAGAAAGTTAAGAGATACGTTGAGTCTTTATGGAAGAAGAAAAGCTCTGGCCAGCCTGTGACTTTCACGGACGTCTTTGGAATGTTAATAGGAGAAACACTAATTCACAACGTAAGACACAGTTCCATCTACAATCATTTTAATACAAGTAGACTCTATATCACAGTATTTTGAATAAAGTGAAATACGGGACATTTGGTTGATGTCACTCAGCTCAACTTATTTTCTCAACGACATCTACTGAGTACGTTCTCCCTGACAGATATGACAACTCTCCTGCATTTCTAAATGGTGCTTCTTCATTCATTAAAAATATTAGTTTTGATGTGTGGAGAAGTGCTTTCATAATCCTTTGCTTTGGAAAATTCACATTTTTATTGTCCATTCCCTGCCTCCCAGGAATGGTAATCTCTTTAGATAAGATTTTAAAAATAGAAGAAACAAGTGGCATTTTTAAAGTAGAAGAAGAATGAAGATTGCCTGAAAAGAGTCAGAAGAGGAAGTGGACCACAGGAAGAAACGCACTTGACATGTAGCCACAGGGTGACATTTCTTCTGAAGATAAAGTAGAGGAGACAGAGAAAAAAGTCTGCGTCAGGGGCTCCAGGGGATAAATATTTTCCAGTCTCTAAAGTTGCCAAATTACTTTCCAGTTCAAATAGAGACATGTCTCTAGAGTTATAATTTTTATTTTTGAGAGGGGAATGCAGATAATTGTTTTCAGAGAGCTTTCTTTTTGTTATTTTTATTCAGGACTCATAGGTTTCTAGAAGTAATAAGGTTTATTTTTAGAAAACCCCTAGCACATTGATTGAAAGTACTACTTTAAGTAGCTTTTATGTATGTTTATCTGTTCACATATTTAAAGCCATTTCATCCATTCTTCTTTGGACAGAGAATGAACACTACTTTGAGTAATCTGAAGGAAAAAGTCAGTGCCGCCCGATGTCCTTTGCCACTTTTTACCTGTCTCCATGTCAAACCTGATGTGTCGGAGTTGATGTTTGCAGGTAGGTGTGTCCTTTCTTAGGACCTTTCCTGGGTCCTGTGCACTGTGGTTTCGATGCTTTTCTTGAGAAGAAGGTCATAAGCAATTTCAGCTTCATAATTTTCTCTAACATAAGAACATTTGAAAATACAGGGAAATATTAGGCTAGGTGATTTTCTTGATGTAGAGAATACTGCATGAAAGTAGTTTGTAGTATCTTTTCATTTAAGTAATAAGATAAAAAAAAAAAAAGAAATCATGACTATACTAAATAACTTGTCTGCTGTCCACTTCTCAATGACAGTTGACAAGACAATGAACCTAGTGCTTTTTGGAAATGCAATGTTCTTTTACTCATTGGTTATACTTTTTATAATTGGGTAATATATATTTGTCATGTAAAATACTATTCTCATTTTTTATTATTAAGAACCTAAAAAGTACTAGTTTATATTTGTGTTGGCCAATGGATAAAACCCCCCATTTTAAAATACATCTCAGAGAAAAACATTTGCTTTTTCTGTAGCTTCACTTCCTGGGTGCTCTAAAAGTAGACACGTCATACTTCCGGGAGCCTCTGCCAGTGTGGTGGAATTTCTGACTGGCTGGTGGGGTTCATTATGTTTTTAGGAAAAATATCCAGAGACATCTGTCATACTGTCCTCTCCTTCCCTTATTGTCCCTGGCACCATGTGTTTCTGAGACATGAGCATGAAACTTTGCATTGTGATTCTGGGAGTTAGAATAAATGGTTAATAAGCAAAATTAAGTGAACATGAAGAAAAAAGAAAATGTTAGAAAACATTTTTCCCATTTTCATAGACTGCTTATACTGTCAGAAAGACTCCAGTTTCTCCTGTCTCCTTTGTAGCTTTTATACCTGTTGGTTGTTTTTGCCACAGGCTGGCTGGGCAAAATAACGGTGGGGTGGGGCGGGGGTGGGGGGGGAGTGACAAGAAACTTGTGAAGGTTGATACAGCGGGAGCCACTTTATTGTAGGACAGTAGAGGTATATATACATTATTGAATACACAGCTTGACTCAATTTAGCATCATCCAGTTACAGCAATCAGTCATTAAGGAATCCTCATCATCTTAATAATTATACACAGCTTAACTTAATTAACATCATTGGATACAGCAGTCAGTCATTAAGGAATCTTCATCATCCTAATGGCTCCCTGGCATTACTTCACAAACCATTCCCTCTGGCAAAGTGCCAGGCGCCATCTTGACTTGTCTGTGACCCTCAATATGTTTTCACTCTCACATTCTTTAGAATTAAGATAGACTTTATAAAAGATATCCGAATTTTTAAATGAAAGTGGGTATTCATTTGGTGCAAATAAGAAAGGATCTCTGAATTGTGCATCTTGTTCATCCAGAGGCTTTTCTTCTTCAACCTGTACGCAGTGTCATATACAAAATGGGCCTTTGGTTAACATTTTATTTTACTAATTTGATTAAATGAATGAGAATAATCAGAGTATTGTTGAAATGTGAATTGTTCTGTAGTGTTTTCCAATTAATGACATATCTTGCTTTTTAAAATGCTTTCAGATTGGGTTGAATTTAGTCCCTATGAGATTGGCATGGCTAAATATGGTACTTTTATGGCTCCTGACTTATTTGGAAGCAAATTTTTTATGGGAACAGTTGTGAAGAAATATGAAGAAAACCCCTTGCATTTCTTAATGGGTAAGTGATAAAAATCTTTTATTATGTTGGCTATTTCTAAATCCAGTTATATTTTAAATCATTCTGTTTCTGCTTTATTTTAGGTGTTTGGGGCAGTGCCTTTTCTATATTGTTCAACAGAGTTTTGGGAGTTTCTGGCTCACAAAACAAGGGTTCTACCATGGAGGAAGAATTAGGTATTGTGCAAATATGCTTACCTTGATCAAAATCGTGCTACATGGATAATTTTCACACATACACAGAACATTGAATCTTCATGAGGATTTTAATTATTCTAAATTTATCAATAATTTGGTTGAATCTACCTAAGTGTTTCTGAATAATCAAATATAAGTTATATCTTAAGTATTATTCTGACATCGAAGTTGTGGAATTCATAAAGACTGTTAGGTACTAAGAATGGTTTATACCAGTGCTTATCCATTCCTTTTCCTTATGATACTTCTAAAAATGCTATTTTTATTAGTGAATGATCTTTTTATTTTAAAGTAAGGTAGCTTTTTAAAGATTATATTTATCAACAGTTGAATGTAGTATGATATGTAAAGAAAAAAATTCATTCTTGTGACAGTTTGTCTACCCCTTAAATACTAACTCACTAGAATTCTGTTAGCATCTTATGAGATGTTAATTTACAGTAAAATGGATGAAAAATTTTAAATCATCTTAGCAAACTAAAATTAATGATTTTATTTAAGTCTAACTCATTACTTCATAATACATTTAAAATAATATGTAGAAAACCTGGAAAAATAGATAAAATTAATTGAGGACCAATGGTATTCATTTATTATAAGAATAATACTATAGAAACATATATTTTCTTCCTTTTTTTTTTTTTTTGCTACCAGGGATTGAACCCAGGGGCACTTAACAAATGAACCACATCCCCAGCCCTATTTTGTATTTTATTTAGAGACAGAGTCTTACTGAGTTGCTTAGTGCTTTGCCATTGCTGTGTCTTGCTTTGAATTTGTAATCCTCCTCCCTCAATCTCCCAAACTGCCGGGATTACAGGTGTGTGCCACTGCGCCCAGCTTTATATGAAAAACATAATTGTGACATTAATTAGAACACTCAAATGTGATCATAAGAAATGTTATCACCTGCAAGAATTGATTTGATATTTTACTTGATATTCATATATAGTGCATTTCAATTTCTACGTTCCTTAGTATTTTCTTTAAGAGTATCATTTGTACTTTTGGGTCTTAGTAAGAAATGGAAAAATGATCTTATAATTCCATTAGTGGCATATATCTTCCCATAAAAAATGAGGACAAACAAACTAACAAACAGAAAAGGCACCTTGTGCAGGTGTTGCTCCTGTCCCCTGGGCATTCATCAGGTAACAAGTGGGAAGGGAGTGGCTCTCCTGAGCCTGCTGTGACCTGTAATCCAGGCGGTGTCCCCCTCATGATAAACAACAAAGCAAAGTGTATAGAGATGAAGTGACCTTGCCTGATGTATTTTAATAAACATTTTATCCTGGATGAATGTCTTGTTCTTAACCGTAATTTTGTGGAAGTCCTCAGTGTTCCCTAAATTATGTGAGGATTTTGAACAAGGAAGGAAGGGAGGGAGGATGGAGGGAAGGAAGGTGAACAGAAGAATTACAAGTTTGGAAGCTTGCTTCCTGAACTCCTTCTCTATTGAATAATTCAGATAAATCAGGTTTATTATTATTATTCTCCTAAGGCAGGAAGAGAAAAGGACTGAAATAACACACAAGAAATGGGCAGACCATGGCAGAAGGCCAGGGAAGAGGAAGAAGTTTATCCTAAATGGTCCGAGAAGACTCCCTATTGAGAAGGTCCCTTTGAGGCCAGGAGTCTGGCAGCTTAGTTACTTCTTCTGTGTAGACTGAGGTGGAATATGGTGTGCTTGGCATTCACTGGTCCACAGGATGCACGTTAGTTACCTGTACCTCAGATTGCATAAAGGTTTCCAGCCATGAAACCAGAGAGGCCACTGTGGGCCACCAAGGACTCCTGGTGACTGTTTCCTCCTTGGCTGACTGAGGTCTGCCTGTTAGACGGGTGCTGGGCCGTGGTTTGTCTTCCTGTTTGTTTTCTCCCTTCTGAAGAAAGACCTTGTGGCAAATTGTACCACAATCTAGTAACTTTAAATGAAATTGTTTATTTTATCAAAGGAGTTTTGCGAATTAATTTGCGCTTTTGAAAAGAGAGCTATGTATTATAGTGGACATACAAAAATGGAAAGTTCAGAATATTTAGCGTTTCATGCCATGAACACTTCTTTAGAATGAAGGCAATGTTTTGGTGAACAGTTTTCTTAAATCAGAGCATCAAGTATGACCAAAGTCAGCAAACAAAAGTACAACAGAAACTAAAGGAAATGTTCAAGGAAAGAAAATACATGTAGCATCAGACACACCCCCAACGCATGTGACATTTGGAGTAGATTGTCGTTAATTTGCCCTCTCCTTTATACAACAAGATTACTTTCTGTCACAGTAATAAAGTGAAATAAATTATAATATTAGCTTGTTAACATTTTATTTTACTGAATTCTATAAATCATTCTAGTAAAAGTAAAATCTAGATCTAGATCTTTTCATTGCACACTCAGTCATTTGGGCACAAACTATTTCTGTGATTCTAACATGTAGAGTCATATGGGAAAAGCCGATGCCTTGCCTATATTTCTTGGAGTTGAAAGTCTCAACAATAGTTCTGTCAATAGAATGTATAAATAGGGAGCTAATTTCTTATAGTTAAAAAGCATTTATTTACTAACTTATTAGTAAGAGAAGGGTGGGGAGTTACTACCAAGACTGGTTTTATATAAATGTTTAAAGGAAGTTTGATTTTTTAAAAAATGGTGATCATGAAAATGATCATTGGGCTCTATTGAAAAAATAAGTAGTTATTATGCTAGATTTTACTAAATTTGCATTAATGATTTAAAGTTGCTAGTTTTAGTTTTTATAGCTGGTCTTTTAGTAAGTTCTGAAGGAAGAACCAATAATTATTACTATCTTTTTGCATTTTGATCAAGTTCATTTATTTAGTTAATGAAAATGTATGGAGCACAAACGAAGCTCTAGGCAGAAATGAGCAAGGAGGACATGATTTTCATCCTCATGGAACTTAGGGTTGGCTAAAGAGATCTCTGCCCAGAGCTGAGGAATAAAGTCAATGAAAATGACTCCTAAGTTCTTATTGCAAGTGAGCAGATGAGCTCACCAACTTTACGGGATCACAAACAGGTCAAATTTAGAAACACTTACCTGATTTATCAAAATTTAACCAATCTCTTTGCTCTCCAATGGTTCTTCCATTCTACTACTTCAGATTATTTTTTTTTCTAGATAAGGAAGCACCAATTCTTGATATCAAAAGGTGCATTTCATTTTAACAGATGATTTTTCAGTATTAGTAAAAATCCGATGATAATATGTATTGGAATCTTTTATTCGTTCTGTGGAGACTGTTTTTCTAGTCCCCTAGTATATTTTGGTTTTATCCCTTTTCATGAACACCATTTAGTGATACAGTCAAAGATTTATTATTATTAACATCAAGATTAACAAATAAAAATTCTCCCTTTATAATTAGGAATGAATCCATTTAGCCTAATTTAATTTTAATGTCCTGGGAGATTTTTGTTTTCCAGTGAGAATTAGGAAATGCTAGTTAACCTAATAAATCTAGATTAACAATCAGTCTAAATTTATGCATAGATCTTTTAGATCTTGTTCTGTGCTTTTGTTTAGTTTACTTCTTTATAATAAATTTAATTGTGAATTTTGATCCCTGAGATGATGCTTCAATTGTTTTGTTTTCTTTTCACAGAAAATATCACAGCAAAGCATATTGTGAGTAATGATAGCTCGGATAGTGATGACGAATCACAGGAACCCAAAGGTAAGGGAGTTGGAAGTGTCCCTGACAGAGATCCTAAGAAGAGGACTTGGAGGCTTTGTCCGATTGTCTCCCTCTTAAGCTGCTGGTGGTGGAAGCAGTGGAGTGCAGGGTTGTCACTTCCTCTTGAGAGGATTGAATATTGCATCCTTCCTAGAATAGGCAGCAGATAGATATCCCCTTCTTTCTTTTTAATCCCTCAAAACCATTTCATTTGAGCAAATTGGGGGTGGTAGTCTGATCAGCATGGATACTACAATTTAGGAAAATTTTTAGATGACTTTGAAATTAAAATTTTATCTTTTAAAATTTTAGTAAGTAACATTGAAAAATTATACTTTCATTCCATTCTCAGGCCTTACACCATGGCCAACCCCTTGCCTCTTAGGAATAAATCTGTGATGAAGTGGGACAAGATTATCAAGAATTTGTTGCACATGTTGCACACAGGGCTTGGGAGTATCTGAGCTCTTTAACATTGTGCCAAGGTAGTTTTCAGTTTGATGTGGATCATAGTGGTCAGTGATGGATTTGGAGCAAGGATAAAGTGAACATACATGTTGCAATGTAATCTTTTGTTGTTCTGTGGTAAAATGGAGAGACTTTACATTTTAACATAATTTTTTAATAACTATAAAAATGTTCTCAATAATAAAAATAAATAAGCAAAGGCAAACCCAACCAAAAAAAAACAAAGAGAAGACTTTATAGCAACTGGATGATCCTGTCCCATTACATTTTGCATATGACCATGTAGATTTTAGAAGATATCAAATGCTTTCTTGTTCAAAAGCATTTGGTATCTTCAAGTCTTAAAGAATTCTCCAAGAAAGGTGTATATATAGGAATAACCTGTTTTATCCTTGCCTAATTATCACTAAAATTGAAATTTTCTTTTCATAATGAGGCTATTACTTCCTCAGAAGATGAGTTTGTGCCAATTAGAGAAAAGGTGCCTTCTCCCAAAAGTGAGATGCTTGGGCCATGGTGTGGCTAGTGTGGGGTGGTTTGTGAACATGAAAAAGGGGAAGTCCTTCCTTGCAAAGTTGTGATCAGGCACTGGGCGTGGATAGTAGAGTGCAACCAGATTTCAGTCCTGACTTACCCATTGTCCTGCCACTTCAAGCAGCTAGTGATTTACCCAAATATAGCAGCCTCTCATTAGGCAAGAACCGAGGCCTCAGAAGAATGAGCCTTTTCCTAGCTCCTTCATTTAAAATTTTTAATTTTATGTATCCTTAGTTGTTGAAGGCTTTTATTTTGAATTTCCTTTTTTTTTAAAAAAATTTTAGTTATAGATGGACACAATATCTTTTTTATTTATATGTGGTGCTGAGGATGGAACCCAGTGCCTCACACATGCAAGGGAAACGCTCTACCACTGAGCCACAGCCCCAGTCCTTTGAATTTCCTTTTAATGAAGGAAGATAGGTAGTGCCAAAGGAATAGACATTATATGCCTGGTATTTTGACAATTAATTATGTATTGATCTAGGGACAACCTAGTAGACATGACATTGGTTTGTCAATTATTAAGTAAATTACTATAGTTGGCCGTCAGTACATTTGATCATCTCTGCAGTTCTTGCTGGTTAAGGCTGAGAAGTTCGAGAACTCTTTAAACACCGCTGCTTTGGTGTTAGTAGTAGTAGGGATTAGAGGATGATATTTAGGATGTTTTTTGAGGTTCTCTTATTAGCCTTTGATATTCCTTTAAATGACTGTGGATGTTAACATGCCTTTTCATCTCTTCTTCTAAGCACTCGTGAGCACTAGTCATACTACAAATGTCATGGTTTTGCCATTTCCAGGCTTGAAAGTAGCTGGGATCATACAGGGGTAGCTTTTTCAGATTGGCTTCTTTCACATTGTCTTATCATGTTCAGGTCCCTCTCTGTCTTTTCATGGGTTCGATAGCTCCTTTCTTTTTAGTGTTGAATAATATTCCTTGTCTGAATGTATCAGCTTATTTATCCCTTTACCTACTGAAAGATTTCTTGATTGCTTCCAAGTTTGAGATATTATGAATAAAACCACTATACCCATCTATGTTCAGGTTTTCATCTGAACATAAATTTTTCAAGTCACCTGGGTAAATCCAAGGAGCACGATTTCGGAATCACAGGGTCAGAGTGTATTTAGAAACATTGTTCAACCGTCTTCGAATGTGTCTGTACCATTTTGTGTTTTTACCATTGATGCATGAGAGTTCTTGTGGCTCTGCCTCCTGGCCAGCATTTGGTGCTATCAGTGTTTTGGATTTGAGCCCTTCTGATAGACAAGCAGTGGTGTCTCACTGTATTGATTTGCATTTCCCTGATGTCACGTAATGTGGAGCAGCTTTTCATGTACTTACTCACCATCTGCGTATCTCCTTTGAAGAGATGTCTGTTCAGTTTGTTTGTTGGCCCATTTTTAAAAATCAGGTTTTTTTTTTTTTTTTTTTAGTGTTGAGTTTCAATTTTTTTTGTATATTTTGAATAATCATCCTTTACCAGATATAATTTTTTTTCAAATAATTTCTCCTAGTTTTCTCTTTTTTATTCTCTTGAGGATCCTTAATTTTTACTCATATGATTTTGAACAAGGGGCATTCCTAACCTGAGTTCCTTCGAGTATATAGTGGAATCATCTACTTGCTCTTACAAAACTAATTATAATCATCATCAAAGTAACAAATGCCTACAAAAATGCTTTTAAGTTGTAAAGAACTAAGTAAATAGAAGCTTGTATTTAATATAATAGCTTACAAGCAATAAATACATATCTGTTGACTGCTGGGTTTGTCTCACAAGTTTTGCCATTTGCAAATGTATTATAAAGAATGTAGATTCTCTGCTGGTACAGAAGTCAGGCTGTACTAAAGGAGAATAATATGAATAATAAGAAGCCCTAAATCTTTGGAAATAACTGAGTATCTTATTCATATCCTGTGTAACTTGAGATATAAATCATGTAAAACCTAATTTGTTTTGGTGAAATATTTTCTTTGTCATATTTGGCATTAGAAAAGTGTGGGAGTAGAAAATAATATATGTGCTTTTAATGAATACGTAGTCACCTGGATTGGCTACCAAAAGGAAGATCCCTTCATTTCCTCATCTCAGCTTAATCTTCAGCTTAATCTTCACAAAGATAAAAAAAATTCAGTATTTACTATGGCTTTATTGTGTTTAATATACATTTATAAAAAATTCTAACATTCGAATGTAGATTCTCCTTTCATTTAAAACATACACCCAGAGTTTTATATAAGGTTATATACTTAAACACAGAGTTCCTGGAAATCATGACAGAAGGTATTTAGGAAGGTGCAGTTATACTCTACCATGAAATGTTCTTTGATTTTTATTATGAATCAATACTACTGATAATGGTGATTGAGCTGCAGCTGCTGCTGTAATTGTTCTACTATTAGCTAGTAGTGTTTATCAGGAATTTAATATGGCCATGCACTCTAGGAACTTTACATGGTGCATAATCCTCATGACAACCTTACATGGCTTACTGATAAGGAAATGGAAAAAGGGAAGTGCAGGTGAGTAGTCAATAGTGGAGAGAGAATTGGGACCAGGCAATCTGATTCTAGTTCTGGTGCTTCAAGTGAGAACCCAATATAGCTTCCCTGCAGCTGTGATGTGTGCATAGGTTTTCAGGAAAGAGTCCCTTAAAATTGCTTCTTTGGATCATTGCTGAATTTTAAACCAACTTAAGGCATTTGTTTAAATTACAGAGTCTTAAGTCCTCAAACTTTGTAAGCGCGGATGAAATGACAGGTCATTGGCTGATTCATAAGAACGTTTATTGAAGAACAAGTGTATGTTAAATCCTGTAGTTCATTCTCTTCAATTTCCATAATCCTTACTGTTTTTTAAACAGAATAAAGATTCTTAAGAAAAATTAAGAACTACAGAGGATAGGATAGCTACTGTGCATATGAATTGTGGTGTGTGTGTGTGTGTGTGTGTGTGTGTGTGTGTGTGCATGCATGCACATAAGTGTGTATGTATCTGTGTGAAGCCAGGGTAATGGAAGAAAATACTGTGAGAGAGGATAAGGGGGAAAATTGAAGAAGTTCACCTGGAAATTTAAGAATAGACCAAGTGTTACTGTCAGGAATACAACTTTTACCCTGCTTGCAGGTAAAAGGTAACTAAGAACATTTTAAGAACAAAAGTGATTATTTACTACATTGATTTATACAAAAAAAATATGTTAAATCAAAAGCCATAGAGCTTTATTTTTCATGTTAACATCTGATCAGCCAGAAAGGATCTCTTTTTATTTTTGGTACAGAGGATTGAACCCAGGGTGCTTAACCACAGAGCCATATCCCCAGCCCTTTTTTAATTTTAGTTTTGAGAAAGAGTGTCACTAAGTTGCCTAGGGCCTTGCTAAGTTTTTGCTGAGACTACCTTTGAACTTGTGATTCTCCTGGCTCAGTCTCCTGAGCCTCTAGGAAGATCTCTTTTTTAAAAGGGCATTGTGGAGTGTGTGTGATGATCTTTTCTTTTTCCCTTAGGTACTGAAAATGAAGATGCTGAAAGGGAGTATCACAATGATAACCAAGCAAGTTGGGTGCATCGTATGATAATGGCCTTGGTGAGTGATTCAGCTTTATTCAATACCAGAGAAGGCCGTGCTGGGAAGGTGCACAACTTCATGTTGGGCTTGAATCTCAATACATCTTACCCACTGTCTCCTCTAAGAGACTTTACCATGCAGGAATCCTTCGATGATGATGATGAACTGGATGCAGCTGTAGCAGGTAAGTTTGCAAAACATAATCAGTGCAAACTAACTCAGGGGAACTTTTTTTTTTTTTTTCCTGTAGAGAGAATCATTAACACTTATTTATACTCAGTTACAAGAACATGCATTTAATGTGTGAAGGGCTTTAAACTGCAGTATTTGTTTGTTTTGAAGAAGAAAGTTACATCAGACAGGAAGTAGCCTAGTCATTGAAATATGGAGCAAGACCTTGGATATGTTTGTACTGGTCAGGGTTCACTGGCAGAAAATTGGAAACCCTCTATCTTGATAACTACAAGGGACTTAAAGTGGGAATTAGGTGCTTATAAAATTTTTCCAGGGATTCAAGGAGCAAGCTCTGGGCTCAGCTTCCTGGAGTGACTCCAAAAAACACTATGGAGCCATGCCTCCCCCACTGTGCCTGGCAACAGGAAGAGCAGAAACATGGCCTGTGCCTCATTTCCTCCTTCCAAACATGGGGGTGTTCCTCCTTGGCTGGGTCTCAGGAGCTGGAGCCTGTGGGAATGTGGTAACCTCTGCTCTGATCCTGGTGCCCTCCTGAGGAGCAGGAGCACCTGCAGCACAGGATGGGGAAGGAGCTGAGTTGGCCAGTGTCTGCAGGACAGCCAGAGTCTGTCTCTGCCACTTTCAGGAAGATTAGGAAACATTTAAAGCCAGGAAGAAGGCAGTCACTTTCAGGTTTGTCACTTAGCCAAATCCCCAAGAATAGTTCTCCACATCCTTCACTTCTGTTATAGACTAAAAGGTAAATTTTCTTAGCTGACTAATCAATATATTAGTCTTTCTCCTGATGGCCATCTCAAATTTTTCTACTTTGTAATATTGTCATCTTTCCCTGAATTGTCCAAATGTCATTCCTCAGTCATTTCTGCCTTAGGGACATTGGCTAGGATTCTTTAAAAACCTAAATGGAATGTTTCAAAACCCTTTTTACTGCCCTTTGTTTGTGTCATATCTATAAAATATTTGTGAGAATTAAGAGATGATATTAGGATTTTTTTTTTTTTTTTTTTTGTAGATTGTTGTCTGGGCTTTAAAGGGATTACAAAAGGGACCCCTGTTGTTTGAACCAGATGAGTACAAACTCACCATATTTTGTATTATGTTTATAGTGTTAAACTCTAGGATGTGAGGCATGTCCAACTATAGACCTGTAATACAAATTTTCATACTAATTATAAAAAAGGTCCACTTGTGATAAAGTGAATGTATACTCTAAAAATTCATCCAAATTAAAAATACATAGGGGCTGGGAATGTGGCTTAAGTGGTAACGTGCTCCCCTGGCATGCGCGGGGCACTGGGTTCAATCCTCAGCACCATATAAAAATAAAATAAAGATGTTGTGTCTGCCGAGAACTGAAAAATAAATATTTAAAAATTCTCTCTCTCTCTTTAAAAAAAAAATACATGGAACCAGTAACATTACTTTTCTTGTTCTGTGGCACATGATTGTAACATTGCAATACCAATTAAAAGTGTTTGTTTTTTCCCTAGAAAATTATGCTTTATAGGTAAATGATGTTGGGTTTTAAAACCAAATTATTCTCTCAGAGCATTGAAATCTATAAAGAGTCCAGTTATTTTCCTCTATAAAAAAAAGGAAGACCCAAGGAAATAATTCCATCCTTTTTGTCTAAAATGGCTCAGCAGATCTGGGATTGGGACACCGGTCTCTTGGCCTTGTTCCTAAGCCTTTCCCTTCTGTTACACATCATCCCCTTTGGTTTTGTTAGTCATTGTCTTGCTGATGTAAGGATGGAAGTTTTCTTTCTGTAGAGTTTATTGCATCTGCCTTACGTGATCACTTTGCCAACATCACTCCTCTATGGTTGCACAGCATGAGTTCTGCACTCCACATTTTAACAACTTCCTGGTAGTTGTGCAATATTTTATGTGGATTTGGTACCATTAGGATTATCGGCTAAAAAAGCAGAATTCCCAGTAAAATTTTAATTTAAAACAATATGTATACTGTATACAAATAATACATGTGCAGTACTTACAACACTTGGGACATACTTAGATTAAGCGATTATTCATTGCTTATCTGAAATGAAGATTAAATTGGGCATCTTGCATCTTCATTAGCCAAATATGGCAACCTTAGGGAGTGTGCTTTGTTAGTTTTCTCACTTTCACTTAAATTGTTCTACATTAAATTTTTTTTTTTTTTTACTTGTGGATGGACACAATATCTTTGTTTATTAATTTATTTTTATGTGGTGCTGAGGATCAAACCCAGTGCCTCACATGTTTGAGGCAAACGCTCTGTACCACTGAGCTACCCCTGCCCCTCCCCTCGCCACAGCCCTTGTTCTACATTTTCATCTTCTTTCTTTCCTTCCTTCATTCTTGTATTCACACAGTATTTACAAGAAAGTACATTGTGTTTGGCCCTTAGGATCCAATAGTCAACAAGACAGATGTAATCTTTGCTCTTATTAAGATTATAATCATTTGTCCAACCTTCCTTGAAGTTTTGATTCATGGATGGACATTTATGCTTTGTTTAACAATGATAGAAAAATTAAGTAAAACTAAAACCAGCAGTGCTGATCCCGATGGAGGTGTAAGCCAGCAGGGATACAGCTACCTTAATTGAGAATAAAGCTGCAAACCAAGAATATGGGTAGAATATAGATATTTTTCTTTATATATAGGGTTTGGAGAATAATAGTTGTCCATCATCTTGTCGGACACTTTTTTCATTTGATGCCTTTTGAAAGAATAGTTATGAGCAATTTTCATAAAATAATAGAAGAAAATATAAAATTTCAGTCATCTTAAATGACAGTATTATATAGACTAAAAATTTATTTTTTATATATTTTGAAATGTTCTAACTAAAATTATTTTAAATCAATGGTATTTGGAAAGCAATTTGAATTTCTTAATGTGTACCTCATTAAAATTATGTTTTACTCATTTCATATTTATTCAATTGAATATATATATGTATATGTGTGTGTGTGTATATATATATATATATGTATATATACGCCATATGTATATGGGGTACTAATTTTGGTAAAAAAAAGAAAATTAGTCAGTTCAGTAATAAATCCACTCAGCTTTATTGTTTACATACCAAAATTGCTCAAAATAATTGCATTTTAGACCGAGTTAGTTGAATGATTAGTGCTTTTTCAGAAAGTTCTTTCCTAAGATAAATCCTGTTTATCTCCTTCTGTCATTTTCAAGTTTTAGAATGATCATATGTTTGGAATTAAAATTAAAAGATTTATTACAAACATCATTTCAGTTCAAAAAGTTTTCATTAAAATTCCTAGTTATTATACACCTAAAATGCCAAATTAAAATATTTACTTTTACATAGCCCCATTCAAAAAAAATAGAGACTTTGAAAAATTAATCTAGACATTTTGATGAACAAATATTATATTTTAGTTTACCCTCTGGTGATTGCTTCTACAAATTTAAAATTTGAATGCCTTAAAACAGTCTCTCAACCTAAGTGGAAAAAGTGTGCTATTTTGTGCCTATTACTTCACCTTGCAGAAAATAAGATAAATTATAAGATGATAAAATTCCCCTCATTAGTTTACTGCAAAATAATTTAAGATCTGTAGAATCTGATTTCAGAGTAGCCATTTATTGGTTACATGACTTCTTTCCTGTTTACTTTTTGTGTTTATATTATTTACAGTGACACACACCAGCTGGAATAAGAAATCAAGGCATGAGTTAATTTAGGCTAGTGTTCAAAACACAGGCATCCAAATATTTAGACATTGTAAATTGAATCTGTTCGATGTATTTATAAAATGACAATCACAAATACCCACAGCTGAATGACTTTTTGGAAATGTCACATAATTATAAAACACAGTTATGTTTTCATACCTATCAGAAAATCTGATTAACTCATTCACACTTTTGGAAATTTGTATGTTTTAAATTATAAGAGAATGTTCTTTCATGGTGGCATTTATTCAACTCTCTGATTTTTGAGTAACTGTTATGCAATAAATTGGGTCTAAGTTCAAATACATTTGGAAAAATTGACAACTCTGTCTCCCTCTTCACCTTGAGATGGGATGCTCTGTTGAGTTTAAATGCTTCTTAAAGGTGCTTCAAATATAGTACTTTAAAAGCAGACTAGTGTCTGATGTGAGTGTCTCTGTTCTCCTGTAGTAGGCTGTCTGGAGGTTGGCTGGCCTTCTTTACAGACATGTGGGAACAATGTGTGAACAAGGAGATAGCAAAGCAGATGCCTGGCATTTCATTTGGTTCAAATCAAATCATTTGGTTCAAATCATTTTTTCCTCCAGGAATTGAATTAGGACTACCACATTTATATGTGAAGAATAGCGTAGTATCAGTATTATTTTTTTTCCCCACAAAGTTAACAATCCTTAGATCTTGATGCTTCTGAGATCCCTGATCATCTCCATTCATTCTCTTTCTATTCTAGCCACTAGGTCTTCCCTCCCCATGGAAGCGTCCCTCCCCATGCTGCCCCCTAATCTTTAGTTGACCAGTTCTGTATCATTATTCTCACTTCTGCTCAAGGTTTTCTTCTCAGAGAGCGCTCTCCTGAATGTCTAACTGGCTACTTATTAGTATATTGCTGTCTGTTATTTTCATTGCTATATTTGTGTCCATCTGAATTATCTTGCCAACATATTTATTTACTGATTTATTGGAAGTGTACTTAGAAAATAAGCTCCAGCAGAGCAGAGTTGTGTCTAATCCATTCAGTGCCCAGAATTGTGCCTGAATAGTGGTAGAAAATACATATTTGTCGAGTGGGTTGGCTGGGCTACTTTCTTGAACTCTTTCTTGGGCTGCTTTCTTGGACTCTGATGTTGTAGTGGGATATGCGCTCCACCTGTGGCACAGTGGGAATTGCTTGAACTGCCACTCCCCAGTTTTGTCACCCTAGAGGTGACTTTTAAACACTTTGCCCTCCATTTATAGATGTTCCTTCCCTCACCTGTCTGTTAAAACAATTAAACAAGATCATATATGGGGAAATGTTTTGAAACCAGTAAAAACCTCTGTAATGGGACATAAAGCAGTGAAAGAGGTCATAGCTTAGGGTCAAGGCAGCGACTGGGCTGAGTTCGTATCATGCATTGTCCCACTGAATCCTCTCAGCAACCTTATTTGGTAATTACTCTTATTCTGATGTTGCGGATGAAGGGATTTAAGATTTAAAGATGATAATTAAATTATACAGTTGTCAAAGTTAGAATCATACCCAGCTCTATTGTCTTCCAACCCCAAAGGAAAAACATAGGGAATTCTGTTTCAAATTTAAAACAAATGTTTTTGTATCTTAAATAATGTCAAATGATCACTTAATTTATTCTTATGTTTTTTTTTTTCTTAAGATCCAGATGAATTTGAGCAAATATATGAGCCATTGGATGTAAAAAGTAAAAAGATTCATGTAGTGGACAGTGGGCTCACATTTAACCTGCCATACCCCTTGATCTTGAGACCTCAGAGGGGCGTTGATCTCATCATCTCCTTTGACTTTTCTGCAAGGCCAAGCGATACTAGCCCTCCGTTTAAGGTAAGGAGGCTTTATATAGTATTCCACTCTCTACCGTGTTCTCTTACAAGCCTTATAGATCTCTTAGTTCTCTTGACCCTAAACTTTATTCAATAGAGACCTCTCAAATGCCATCATTATTCTTGGGGCTGGGGATGTGGCTCAGTGGTGCTTGCCTAGCATGCATAAGACCCTGGGTTAGATCCCCTGTGCCTCAAAAAAAAAAAAAAAAAAAAATTATCCTTCTTGACTTCCACTCATATAGTTAAAGCTTTTAGTACTTAGTACATTCTTCTAATAAGAATACTGGCTCTGGTGTATTCTATGGATTTGTTTCCATTTATATTGCTTCCCCAGTGAGCTTATTCAGGTCTAGAACACAGCCGTGTATGTGCATTTGTTTCATTTAAATCATTATAATTGCCTTGTAAGTATTGGCCAAATTGTGTGTATTTAGGACATTTTTAGTAAGAGAACGAATGAACTGCTGTAAATGTGATGGAGTTTTTATATGTACTGCATAGATTAAGAAATAGAAACTCAAATTCATGAAGTGAAACAAGCCACCATCTCCCAGCCAGGAGGAGTCAGGATTCTGACAGCACATCTGGTTTTCTTTCTATCATACTGTGAATAAGCTGCTCTCAAGACTAATAATGATTACGATAATACTCTTTAAATATATGGAAAACTCACATTTTCAAAATGCATTAATATTTGATTTTTTTTGAGGCTGTTGATATTATTCAGACAAGGAAATAAGGATTGATGACATAAGATCTCATCAACAAATTGTGTATATTATAGAAGATCGGGTTATGAACATATTGGTGTATCCTGGAATCAACAAACAGAGAAATAAATGAAATAGAATGCAAATGAGCACATTTGAGTGATTGGAGTGATCTGATCGGAAGGGACAGATATTAAACGCACCTTAGGAGGGCTTTAGGGGAGAATTTAAGACTGGATGATAGGACATAGAGAATCAGTGGAGGGTTTCCAGCAGACAAATGATATCATGAAATTGGAATTTTATGATGATTAACCTAAGGGTGGAAAGTAGGATTAGTTGGAACATAGAGGGCAAAGGATTAAAATTAAGAGATATTTACCATAACCCAAGCATAGGATTATGAAGTGTTACACCAAGTCGGGCGACTGTGAACACCAAGAGCAGAATTTGATGACCCAAGAGGAACCAGTGGGGAGCTGGGTTACAACGATGACTCCAAGATGCTAGCTTAGAAGCTGGTCTAGTGGTGGGAAACACTATATTATTCATTTCACCAACGGGGGTGTAAATGTCAAAGCTGTCATTTTATACATGAATCAGAGCTCCGCTACTGCATTGAGTTGATTCTGAAGGGGGGGTTTAGAATACCACAGTGTACTACTAAAAAGATGCCTATTTTGGAGTTGCTTTAAAATGTTGATTCATTATTAGTGATTGAGAAGAATAGCTGAACATGGTGGCACAGGCCTATAATCCCAGCACCTCGGGAGGCTGAGGCAGGAAGATTGCAAGTTTGAGACGAGCCTGAGCAACTTAGTGAGACACTGTCTTGAAATTAAAAATTCTCCTGTTGGAAGGAAGGAAGGAAGCAAGGAAGGAAGGAGAGAAGGAGAGAAGGAGGGAGAGAGGAAGAAAATATACTTGCAAAATATATGAAAATTTTAGAATATCCTCCAAGTACTAGACAACAACTACTGGAATTTTGTTTTTTTCTTTGTGTGTACGTGTGTCTGATAATGTTTTGCATTCTGCTTCTTTCTTCTTATAACCCTATTGTGATCATTTCCCATGCTATTAAATATTTTTAAACAAATTTAATTGTGGGGCTCTGGTTGTAGTCCAGTGATAGAGCACTTGCCTAACATGCATGAGGCTCTAGATTCCATCTCCAGCTCTGCAAAAACAAAACAAGCAAATAACAACCACCACTTACCAAATATGATTAAAATGGCAAATGGTAAGATACACACACACACACACACACACACACACACACAGAGATACATATGCAGAGATCCCGTATATCTAATATACACACACACATGGGATATATACATGGGATCTCTGCATATGTATGTGCAGGATTTTATTTAACATTGTTCTTTTTCAACTTTTAGATTATGATTTTGCCATTTTTTTCTATAATAACATCCTTGCACATGAATCTTTAATCAAGCTTTTATTATTTCCAAGCTTGGCTGCTAGGTACATATCCATTTATGGCTTTTAATAATTCTAGATTGCTCTTTGGAGAAGATGCACCAATTTATATTACTGTATCTGTATATATGAGTCCTTGTTTCACATATCTTTCTGACATAAAAAAACCCAACTACTATTGTAACTACAGAACTCTAATTAAAAAACAAAAAAAGAGGGAGAGAGAGAAAAATATTAAGAACAAAGTTCAAAAAGTTGTGTGATATGTTAGGGGCAATAACCCCACATTTGGGGTTGGGGTGGTGGCTCAGTGGTAGAGCACTTACCATGCATATGTGAGGCACTGGGTTCCATCCTCAGCACCACACAAAAAATAAAAATAAAGTTAAAAAAGTTTTTTAAAAAGTGAAAAAAAAAAAAAAAAAAACCATGGTTTTGCTTCAGTTTTCTTTCTTTCTTAAGAGACTAAATAGTTTGTCATACTTACAACTTTCAATTGGGTTGTTACTGCTGTGCTATTGATTATTAAATATTTATTTTATGTCTTAAATATACTAAAGTTTGTCATTTTTAAAATATTATTAGTTAAAGATGTACACAATACCTTTATCTTACTTATTTCTATATATTTTTGGTACTGGGGATAGAACTCAGTGGCATTTGACCACTGAGCCACATCCACAGACATAAAATATTTTGTATTTTATTAGAGACAGGGTCTCACTGAATTGCTTAGCTCTTCACTATTGCTGAGGCTGGCTTTGAACTTGCAATCTTCCTGTTTCAGCCTCCTGAGCTGCTGGGATTATGTGGTGCTAAGAATCAAACCTGGTGCCTCACAGGTGCTAGGCTAGCACTCTACCACTGAGCCACAACCCCAGCCCACTGTGTCATTTGAAATAAGATTGTTTTTATTGCTGTTGATTTGTTGACTGAAGTGCTTAGGTAATGATTTCTCCATTGGTTTTATTCTTGAAATTCATACTTCTTACTAAGGTCAGTTACATATGGAGTGATATTATTCTTTTTATGTTAGTCTTTAAAAATATTTTAATTTGTTGATATTTCTAAATATATTGGACATGTAATAACATAATCCCCTCTAGGCTTTTTTTTTTCCAACATGATTTTGTGATGCTTCCTTTATCATATACTGCATCACTATTAAGGGGAACAAGGATCTATTTTGTGTTTATCTCTGGTGCATCCATTAGTCTATGTGAAAATCTGACATGTGAAAAATCTAATGCCAAATAAGATATCTAATGCTAAAATAGGATACTTACTTTAGATATAGGATAGTAGGTTTGAAAATTGGTGAGGAATCTACGTGAAGTTCTTTTGATAGGAGAGGACAGCACCACTGTAAGAACTGGATATTAGCAATATGATTGTAATAGGATAATTAAACAGTGAATCGTTTTCTTGTTTTTTGAGAACCAGATATGGACGTAATTTTTTCAACAATGCGTAGAGCATTTGTTTGATGAAAAGTTACAATCATTGACTTTATTTCATATTTATTTATCTAGCATTTCATAACTGTAGCATTTTGTAAGTATAGTTAAATCTCAATTTTTATCAAGAAGATATAGAAAGATGAAAATCGTGGTTTTTAATAAAGGCAACCATAGTTTATGTTACATCTGTGTTATAACTGACCTTGAAAGTTAGTGTTTTTTTTTTTAGGTCAGAGAGTACCTTAATATTTGTCTGATATAGAGTCTCCCTATTAACTTATCTAAGAAAAGAAGCTCTGTGTTTAATTTATCAATTTTTTTTGTTAATCTTTTAGTAATTTAGATATATACCATGTAAATTAGTTTATCATCAGGATCCATCCAGTGACAATCCTGATGGGCTTTGTCTTATAATTTGGTTGAGAAAATAAGGCAGAATATTCAGACTCAAGTCTGAAAAATAAACAGAATGTGAACTTAGTGGGAACAGGTTTTTGGGTTTTATTGAAGGGCAAGTAAGCTAGGAATTCAGAAGAGTTCAGAGTTTAATACTGAAGAGTTTTTCCCTTTGATCTTACTAAAAGTTCTTTTTTTTTTTTTTTGGCACCAGGGATTGAACATAGGGGCACTTGACCACTGAACCACATTCACAATCCATTTTTTAAATTTTATTTTGAGACAGGGGATTGCTAAGTTGCTTAGGGCTTCACTAAGTTGCTGAGCTAGTCTTGAACTTGGGATCCTCTTGCCTCAGCCTCCCGAGGCCACTGAGATTGCAGGTGTGTGTCACTGTGCCCAGCCAGAGAGAATATTTTTTAGTTATTATTCTACAAATTATGTTACATTATGTTGCCATATACTAGGCATATATCTGGCTCACTTTTGCAGTGCTCTTTTAATGCTTGGTTAGTGATCAGAAGCTAGAACAATGGGTTTTATTCCCTAAAATTAAAGGAAAAAAGGAAAGGAAGAAGGAGAAGAGAATGTAAAGAGAAAGGAGAGAAGGAAGAAATAAGGAAGGACAATGAAATGAGCCAGACTTCACAAACTAAATTTATCTCCCTATATTTCATTCAGGGTCAAAATTCCATTAAAATCCATAAATAAAGGAAAATAATCTGTTTTCCACATTAATCTTATGTTTTTACTGACATGAGGGCATGACCTGTTCTAGAATCCTTATATATGCTTTACTTATAATTCTTAGGTTGGGTCACATCATGGCCAAACCGGTCTAAGCATTAGCTTTGTGGGCACTGTTCCTCCATACTCAATAAGGGAAGTGTACAGTTCTAAATGTCGTACTTGCAGATGGGCATCTTATATTTGCTGGAGTTGCTGTAACAAATCACCTCAAACAAGGTGGCATAAAACAGCAAAAACATGTTTTTTCACACTTCTGGAGGCCCAAAGTCTCAAAAAAGGTGTCAGCAGACCTGCTTTGTGATAGAATTATTCCCTGTCCCTTCTGGCTTCTGATGGCTCTATGTGTTCTATGGCTTGGCGTTCCAATACTCTAATCTATTCTATAAGAACAATTATCATTGAATTTAGGGCCCACTCATATAATCCAGGATGATTTCAACTTAATATCCTTAACTTAATTGCATTTGCAAAGAACCTTTTTCTTAAGTTAGGTCACACTTAAAGGGCCTGTGTGTTTAGGACATGGATTTATGTTTTAGGGAGACATCCTTCAACCCACATAGGTCATTAAGGATCAAATGTCTTGTGCTGGTAGATATACCCAACCTTGATTTCTCCAACACTGATTTTTGTCAGTTTATAGTAACCTTGTTAGAAGAAGCAGCGAGAACATCGAAGTGCTATGTCTAGTCTATACACTATTGAGTTTAGAAAATTCTTTTCATGCCTTTTGCATTATGAAGTTCTTGAAGCCCAATATCAACATGTCTTTTAATGGAAGTGAGAGGGACCAGAACCATAAAATAATGAATTCTACGTTGTAGTTTCCATCTGTTGTCTATTATAATAGTTGCTTTGATAATTTCTGGTGATATCTTTGTTTTAAAGATTACATTATTATAACATCCCTCTCCCAATCTTGAAAATCAGTTTTATATAATGAAAACATCTGAGAATAGTAAGAACATATCCTGTGTTTGCATACAGATAAAAATCTCATCTTTAGTGAAGAGTTAAATTACTTTTTGTGTATATGCATTTATATAGATAGAGGTTTTGTATGTTTAAAAATATACATTTATATGCTTACACATGTATTTATATAGATTGCTATATGTTTATATATATATATAAAACAAATGACATGTGTATACCAGTATGCCATTCCTACTATAGTTCGGGTATGTTTCTGTTTTTTTCCACCCCTTCAAGATGTTTTAATCATGTTTGGTACTTAAAAATGAGCACAAACATTTTACCAAGTATCACTTTGAAGGATACCTTCCAATTTTTTTTTCTCTCTAGAGAACTGTTTTTAGTTGGTGTTATGTACATTTTCCATAAATGAGTCTGTGGAAATGAGAAATATCCAGGTCTCAAGCAATAGGAATGCACAGTGATAACAGCACAGTTTTGGCATACTGCTGGCATTTATGGTACAGCAATCTTTTTTTATTCCCTGCCTTCTTCTAAAGCTTTTTTTGCAAACTAACGGCTTTACTCATAGTCTGGGTCATTGTTTCTCAGTCCCTCCAGAGACATCAGAAAGGAGACGGTTTTTCCATGCCGTAATCACAGTCCGTAGTCATCAGTGTTTAATCTTTTCCACATCAGAATCACAGAGAAAAAGGGAAAGTCTCCATCCCTCCTGGATCCCAGTGTAGAATTATCTATCTAAAAATAGCCGGACTTTTCCCTCACGTAATTCCCTTTTCCTCTTCCTCTACACATCCACGCATCTTGGGTCACCTTTGAGTCATGTTTGTAAACACTAGAAAGCTCTTTCTTTTTCTTCCCCTCTCTCGCAGTTGCTTCATAGTGTGAACTTTTGGTTTTATTTTGATGTTGAATAATCATGGGTGAATAATTGTGAACGGTGCTAGACAAGAAATAACATGCTGATTAATTCAGTCGAACAGGGGGTGGAAAAGAGGGTCAATGATAAGTTTTCTCAAGTTTCAAACAAGAAATTACTCATATAGATATATGGGATTAGGGACAAAACTTTACTGTATTTAGCATGTCAGTTTATGAAGCAAATGTTTTCATATCCATTTAATCTTTTGTTCTCCTGGATTTCTGTTTCTTTGTAATGGGATTGAGAGGGTTGATCAGCTTAAAATTTCCGGCATTCCAGAAGCATTAAGATCAGCCGAGTTGAATGAAATGTGTATTTTTCTGAGTTTAAGGTACTAGTTAAAGGCACTTGTTTTCCCTGACTCTAAATTACTGGGGTTTTTGTGTTTTCTATCTGACTTAATTGTCATAATGGTCCTGTGGAGAAGATTCTAGTATTGTCTTTATTTTACAGAGGTGGAAAATAAGGAACGGATGACCTCTGGAAGAGGCGGGGATTGGGAGCCATAGTGAATAGCTCAATCCCTGTGGGTTGTTACAATCCTTACAGTGTGATTAGGGGTGTGTCATTGTATATTGCAAATCCCCCCAAATAACTTGTTCCCTGCTGAGCTCTCGTAGCTATGCAGTTTGCGTTGGGTCACCCAGCCAGCAAGTTGAGGCATCTCCTTAAGGTGTGCTTTCAGAGTGCAAGCCGGGCACATGGCTGTCCATCGTGATTCCCACCTCCCTCCTACTATACTATATCTATTCATCTCCCCACTGACTTGTAAACTCTAAAGCTTCAAGGACCACCTCTGCCTTGCGCCTAGAACATGAAAGGTGCTGAATAGTAATTGTTGAGTGAATTAACAAATACTCTGAGGAAATAGTCTGGGTATACTGCATAATCTTATGATCACTTTTAAGTTTTTCATAGCATTTATAGCAATTTTAGATTTGCGTGGTTATATAATGATTATCTCTCATGCACAGGCTATATATCCCATAGTAAGAAGAGTCAAGAATGTTTTACTCACTGTTAGGACCCGGCTTTTAGCATGGTATTTAGCTACTAATGATTACTATTGAACAGATCAATTTGGTAACAAGAATATTCTTTAAAATTTAAGATTCTAATCATGGTTCCCCCCAAAATCTCCTCTAAGAGTTTCTCTAATACTTATTTGTCTCTTGTCCTTTTCTTTTTCTTCTTTGTTTTCCTGACTTTTTTTCTTCCATATTTTTCTTCTAACACAATTTATTTATTAAATATTTGTTTAGCACTTAATATATGTAAGCACTCTTCTAAATACTAGCTAATCTATTTAATTCTAATTGCAATCCCATCAGATATATATTGGTATTATTTTTATCCATAGTTTATATTTGAGGATATTGGGGACTGAGACATTAAGAAACATGTCCAAGGCCACAGAGCTTGCATTTGGACTAAGGCCTCTGACCCTAGAGCCTGTAGTTTACACTATGGTATTCTGCTTCTTACTTCTCTCTCTACCCCTGAAGCTGCACATAAATGGAAATGAGTTCCATTACCCACATCTCTCCATATTGGTTTATGTTCTCCAAGTTTAAATATATATATTTTTTCTTTCTTAGGCATAAGTCAGGTAAGACAACCTAACCTCAAATCTACATTTCTCGAAAACATGCATTTCTTGGTCAGGGTACATGTGAACAACTGCAGATCAGCTATGGTGGCTCTGCCCATGTGCCTTCTCTTCCTGGTGGGGAAGGACCATCTTCTGATTAGGAAGGTGCTGAGTTGTGTGGTATCATACAACCTGCCACACCTTTGGTGAAGCTCAGGAAGCTCTGTTAGGTCTACTCTTGGCCATGACACATGTGATAGCAACATGATCAGGCCAGAAGCTCAAATTCTTTTTCATAAACAAAAGGAAAAAAAGCTGATTTAGAGAGAGTCAAATATTTTTATGGGCATAAAATGAATCAATTTTTAATTTTTTTAATACTGAGATGGAGATGATATAGGTTTAAAATCCAGTAACAGAGGGATCTGCATTCTATATCATTAGACTTTTTCTTAACTCCTAAGGGTTAAAAAAATCATTTAAATGGTTATAAGTACTCTAAATCCATTATGTATACACATATATATGTATATATGTGTTTGTATACATATATAAATATAATTATCAATACTGAGTTTGCTTGTAGAGTAATTTTATAGATTTTTGAGATTCATGGGCTTCTTGAAGGCAGGATGTATATATCCTGGTGAAGAGCACTCTGCTAGCAGATAGTAGACCCCCAAGGAATATGGAATGATGAAGACTGAGAATGAGAATTCCCAATGCATCTTTCTCTTTTCCCCATAGGAACTTCTACTTGCAGAAAAGTGGGCTAAAATGAACAAACTCCCCTTTCCAAAGATTGATCCTTATGTGTTTGATCGGGAAGGACTGAAGGAATGCTACGTCTTTAAACCCAAGAATCCTGATGTGGAGAAAGATTGCCCGACTATCATCCACTTTGTTCTGGCCAACATCAACTTCAGAAAATACAAGGCTCCAGGTATCCTTGCAATAATAATATATTTCTTAAAACAGAAAACAGAAATCTGGCAGGAGAACAAGACTGCTATTAAGCTGATATTAAGCTGTTTCACAATGGCCCTGTTCTACCAGCTGTTTCAACAATGAGTGCATCTCTTACTTTGTTAAACAGCTACCATCTCGAGACTGCAAGTACCTTTTTTTCCCCTGAAGGTCACTCAAAGATGTAGAAACTGAAGCATTGATTGACTAGCTCAGCAAAAATCTTTGAGACTTTATTCCAAGACTTTGGAAGATGCGGCTTCTGGTCAGTTCATGTCCTTGTCATAGTGATGCTAAATATTTTCCATATCACCTTCATGAGAGAGATCTTATTTCAGAAAAAAATGATGCAGAAAACTCAGGAAATTCTAACTGACCACAAAATCAATGTCATCTAACAACAAAAAATGGCTAGCAAATTCAGGTCGCCATGTTTTATTTCATGGAAAATGAGAATCAAGTTCAAGGAATAGCTGTTTTGTTTTACCACATCCAGAGTAGTCTTTGACCTTCTCTGTATCCTAGAAAACACTAATTAACAAAAGCAGATCTACAGGTTGATAAACAAGATGCTTAAGGTCTTAAAAATAATCATAATATTTTAGGACTACAAAAGGTAGTTTTTCATTTTGTGAATGGAAAGATAAAACACAGGGAGGAGGGATAAGAGAAACCTGGAGAAGCTGGTCTTTTCTAGATTTCTCACGGAGAAAAAGGATCATTAGGGGTGGAGTTTGTTGTGAGATATACCTTGTCATGGAAGAGCTACTGGCTGGTATTTTTGGTTTTAAAGTAGTGGAGCACTTGAAACCTAAAGAATTGTCTCTGTTAATCCTCAAATGAGCAGTTGGCGTGTGTGAGGCCAACCTATAGTCAGATCTCTGTGGCTTCAAGACAGTGGATAACGTTTTGGTTTGGGCTCTCCCATGAGATGATTCTGAGAAAAGAGTTCAATTATAAGTTAGTCAGAAGGAAGTGGGGAAGTGATAGAGGGAAGAAAGGCAGACGACAGACCATGTGCTAGTAAACTAGATACCACACAGGGGAACTTGACCTTCCTGGGAAGGTCTAGGAAGTTAAATAGAACCTATGCCCCAGAATCATGCTTCCTCCAGGCATGGGAGCATCGGTGTTTATAGATCAACTCCCTAGAGTCTTTGGTTGACTGCTGCCCAGGGCAGAGTGTTATTTGTCAGGAGCTCCAGTCTGATGGTAGTGGGCAAAGCAGCCTTCCACACTTTCAGAGAGGAAGAAAAACCCAAGGCACAAAAACACAGAGACTGGCAGTTGGAAAGCGTCTGTTTATAACACACAGAAATGATTAATTTAGGGATATTACAGATTACGTGGCCTCTGTGGAGCCTCCCCATTGTTATCTTCACGGCTCTTAGTATGTATTATTCCCTGGGTTTTAGAGGTGTTTCATACTTTTCAAAATAATGCCATCTGTAACTGTTCTCTGACATTTAGGTGTTCCAAGAGAAACCAAGGAAGAGAAAGAAATAGCAGACTTTGATATTTTTGATGACCCTGGATCACCCTTTTCAACCTTCAACTTTCAATATCCAAATCAGGCATTCAAAAGGCTGCATGATCTGATGCACTTCAATACCCTGAACAACATCGATGTAAGTTATCTCCTTGTGACTGTTGGTAATGTCAACCTGCTTTTCATGTCACGTGAATACAACAATACCTCATTATAGTTAATCAAAAAGAAAATTAAGGTTCATGAATGACTACTCAAAATTTAACACTTACTCCTCATGAATTATTTTACTAATCTCCAGAAGAACCCTACAAATTTTACCAGATTAATACCTCCAAATTACCAGAGTCTACGTTTTATACTCTTATTTGATTGAATGACAGTTAATACTCGTCTTCTTTCCCAAAGTATCCAGGGTATTCAACACATGATAAGATAAATTATAAGGAATAAAAATGATGAAAAGGAACTAGGAGAGTAGGAAAGTGCCTGTAATCAGGAGTATAATGAATCTGCAAAGATATCATGAATTTTAATGAATATATTCATGCTTTGAAATGGTTGAATTTTGTGGATCTCAGGAATGTAAGCAAATGTAATAGCCTGCCCCATTTTTTAGGCCTTGAGATAGCAAATGTGCTTTGCTTTAGAAACTCTAGAAACAAGCTGTTCTTTTCAGTATAAATCATTCCTATCACCAGCACATCTGCTGCTAAGATTTTGTGTCTGGTAAGATTCTTCAGCGTAGAACTCAACATTTAGGAGTGCTATTGTGTAATGGAGATCACTGGCTCCTCGTCCTAAATCATAGTGTCTGATTAACAATTATCAGTTGTGAAATCTCAAGTCTGTTGGCCTCTTAGGTTTCATACATTAGTTAAAAAAAAAAAAAAAAAAGGAATAAGAGTAAAAGGAAAGAAATTAAATGGAGAGAGAAAGGCATCCTGTGTTGAGTCAGTGTGAATGGCCCAGAGGAACTCATAGTGTGTGCGTAAGTGTTCTGTTTATATGAATTTAACTAGATTTTGTGAGCTAATGGAACTCTGGCGCATCTAGTTAGCTTGATTATTGAGTTTGCCCTGAGACTACTAGTGATAAAGTGTGTGCCATTGTGGCAACTGTATCAGAATGTTTATGAATCATTCTTTAATTTTTATAAATGAGTGAAATGTTTCCCAATAAGCATCAGTTTCTACAACCCTAAAATTCTTTTTTTTCAGCCTGTATATACAAATTTATGATTAATGTAAAACATTTTTATCAAATTTTATAGCACTAATCGTTTTCTTAACATTAACATATTTCTTTCCCCTTTTAAGAAATCTTACAGTGGACATCTGAAAGCCTTGTGAATTAAAGACTATTAAGGAAGAAATCAGTATTTTAATCAATGACATCAAACAAATGTATTTTATAAAACCCCATGGTACTAAAAGAGAAGAAAGCCAAGGAGTTATATCACAGTAATCCTATTTTACCAGTGTGAATCCAATAAAATCAAAAGTATATATTCTTAGGGATAAATGTATTAAATTTGATAAGTCATCCTAGAAATGGAAAGAACTAGATTATAGGAATATATAAATATCTTATTGAACTTGGAAAACAACACACATACGCACATACCTTAAATGACTGTTGTTTTCAATTCTGGTTAATATAAAACCTGCTAAACTGTTTGCTACAAGGAATGATACAGTTCTAGTTATCCATTTTACAAGAATTCTTCTAAGTAATTTTTGACACGCAGATGAAGAATTGAAAGCTTGAACAAAAATAGACTGAATTCCAAAATAACTCTCAACTTACAGCTTATCAAATGTTGATTTTTCACAAACTATTAACTAAACATTTATTTTTATTTTTTGGTACCAGGGATTGAATCCAGGGGCACTTAAACACTGACCCAAATCTCCAGCCCTTTTTTTCATTTTGAGGCAGGGTCTCGCTAAGTTGCTTAGGGCCTTACCGAGTTGCTGAAGCTGGCTTTGAATTTGGTATCCTCCTGCCTCTGCCTCCTGAGCTGCTGGGATTACATTTGGGCACCACCCTGCCCAGCAGCTAAACATTTTAAATTGCTTTACTAACATTTTTGGAATGGTATGTACAGGGGAAGGTCATGGGATTTATATCATCTGTAAATCCTAAATGAGCTACTTGTGCAGCTTTGAATAAGCTAGGCAAACTCTTTGAGCCTCAATTTCCTCATCTCTAAAACAGGCGAAATAGGACCTACCCCAATAGCAGTAGTGAGTTTTTAATCAGGTGATGTGTGAACAATGTCCTACAAACAGTGTTCAACAAATGGAAATCTTAGCTATACACATCCATATTCTGTATCCTTGAAGGTCTAATGTAAATATACCCCAAGACCTTTGCAAATGTTTAGAATTTACAAAGTAGACAAGCTTGTACAGGTAATGATAGCTGAGGCAGGAAGAAATATTTTTTCAAATGAATGAATGGAGGCTTTCTTCTAAATTCCATGACCATTGAGACGTATGTTCAAGTGATACCCCCCCCCCCTGCTGTATGTGTGTATGTGTGTGGTATTCAGGTAAAACTTTCCATTTTTATTGACATTTTCTCTCTCCCTCCATACACGTTAACTGGAAAAAAATAATAAAAGTGACAGTATATAAAAAGCATCAAACTTTTGCTGAGGTTTAGATGCTGGGCAGCGTATTAGGTTTAGACGCCAGCCAGATCTCTCACACCCACATCATCTGAACAGAGCAGAGTACTGATTTATATTTCAGCAACATAGCACATGATCTGTCAGGGTTGTTTGCAAATAGCAGACTCTCAGAATCTTGGCAAAAATCATTTATTGGCCAATCCCAAGAAGACAGTTTTTGGCTTGTGCCTGTATCCACTGTGGCTTAACGTTTCCTCTTGGGTTTACTCTCTGACCTGAGTCGGCTCGGAAATTGCTGCCCTGTCCCTCTACGCTCCTGTTGCTCTGTTTTCCTGGGCCATCCTAGCTGGCGGGTGTTGCCCATGCTCAGTTCCAGTTTATCTTTGGAGGACTGTGGCTCTGCTTTTGCTCACTTGGTGACAGTGTTCTGGGTTTCTTTTTAGCATTAGATTCCTGCACTTACTCAATCATCCCGAATTCCTATCCAGTGAACTTCTCCTCAATGCTTTTACAATTACAGTGTCTCATGGTTTTTTGGTTTCCTTGTTAAAAACTTAACGTATAGTGACTTATACTGGTAGACATGTGGTATGTGGGAGATGCAGAGGCTTTGGAGTCAGACCAAATTGGGTGTTTAGATCCTTTCCCCGCTGCCTTTTAGGTGGGTGATCTTGGGCGTGCTATTTAACCTTTCCCTTTCTTCATTTGTAAGGGGAAATGATGATACATACCTTAAGGATCAAGATGGGGCTTACGGGCTGGGACTGTAACTCAGTGGTAAATCACTTGCCTCGCTGTGTGAGGCACAGGGTTTCATCCTCAGCACCACATAAAAATAAATAAAGATATTGTGTGTCCATCTACAACTAAAAAACATTAAAAAAGAAAGACGGGGTTTAAGTGAAATAATAAAACTTAAGGACCTGTCATGTGATAAGCACTTGGGAAATTGAAGCAGTTAATATAATTGTGGCAATCATTTATGTTAGTGTCCATATTCTCTTCTGCTTTTAATTATAAATTTGAAGCCCTTTTAAAACAGTGAGGCTCCTTCTTTACTTTGTATCCTACAGAGATACTGATCATGACATCTGGCACCTAAGATAAATATGCAATACATTTTTCATGGTTGACTTACTGGGGGCAGCAAGGGTCCAGATACAAGGTGCTGTGGCTGGAGGTCAAGTTCCTCACCATGGGGAATCTACATGTTGTACCCTGGTCACATAGCGTGACTGCACCCCCCATGTATATACCACTACCTTGGTCTGGAGGGAATATGACAGCTGAGACTTTTTTTTTTTTTTTTTTTTTTAGGACCCATTGATTTAGCAATCACATGCTTTCCAGTCTCACTGGATCAACATGTTTAACTCAGTCGCAGCAATTCTAAGAACCCATGTCTCAGTTTATTCGGCATATACTGATTATGTGTAAGATGAACTTTAAGACTGTTTTCTCAAATAATTTTACAAACTGTTAAGTAGTAGATGTTATTTAAAATGAGGTAAAGTACATATCCAGAAGTACTGGCACCTAATATTTAATGATATTTCATCATCTTAATGAAAGTAGCTGGGTCCCAGTCAAGGTTCTTGTCTTTTCAAAAATAATTTGGAAGTTTCTCATTATGAGGCCCTAATATATTAGGCCTGTAGGGGCAGAAGTCTGTGATTCCTTTCCTGACCATAACAGTGGGTGATAGCCGACACCCCTACACCAAAGAGAAGTTAACAAGAGAAAAGCGGAATCAATTTGTTTGATCCTAGTTTTACATGTCATGGGAGCCTTCAGAATCAAGACTCGAAGACCCCAGGTGAACTCCCCATTTTGATTCCTAGGTTTCATGAAGTGTGGACATCTGTGTAGAAATCTGTTTCTGTAAAAAGGGTGTGGACTAATGCTGATAGACTGAGCAGGGAAACCTAGCAAAGTCTGGTTCTTCTTGGCCTCTCCCAGCATTATTTTCTCCTAGTAGAGGTAGGCCCCATCTGAAGTGGGGTCCTGTGATCTACTCTCAGACCCAGGTAGGTAGAGACTTTCTTTATGGCCAGCTCTAGACAGAAAGGCAGGGGGTGATTAGGCTTTCATGGCTTGCTTTGGGGAAAAGGAGTTCTAGTTCCTATAACCCACTTGGGAGGAATCCAGTCGCTATGACTTGCCTGGGTACAGTAGGCAGTGGAGACGGGAGCAGAAGACTGGAAGAGGAGAAGAATAGCTTGCTTCTGAGGCCTTCAACCTGGGGTCTTATTTTTTTGTGTGTGTGTGTTGGGGGTGAAGTACTGGGGATCAAACTCAGGGGCATGCAACCTCTGAGCCACATCCCCAGCCTTAGTTTGTGTTTTATTTAGACATAGGGTCTCAATAAGTTGTTTAGTGCTTCGCTTTTGCTGAAGCTAACTTTGAACTTGTGATCTTCCTGCCTCAGCCTCCCAAGCTGCTAGGATTATAGGCCTGTGCTATGGCACCCGGCTGGGTTATGTTATTAAGTTCCAACAGGTCCAACTAATACTATATGTGATCTCTTTGATCTCATTCGGTCATTAGTCCAACATGTGTTTATTGAGCATCTGCTATGCCGAGTGATGTTTTAGGTAGTAGGGATACAGCAATACACAGCATTAAAAGGACAAGAAAAATTTTGAATGATTAGTATTAGGCAAATATTCCCCCCAAAAGGCTTATCAGTCAGAACTGCCTATGAAGACAGTGGTGTGTCGTGTGTGTGTGTGTGTGTGTGTATGTGTTTAATTTATGGGTGAAGAAATTGAGTCATAGAGTATTTAAGCAGATTGCTGGAAATCACGATTGTGGGGAACTGAGACACCGTCAAAGGTCTTTTCTCACTTCTGAACAATCTGTCTCGCAAGTGGCCTTCTTTCCCAGTGTTCCTTGAACGTAGCCTCCTTTCCCGCAGGCCAAGCAGTTCTGAGTGTCTCCTCCACGGCCACAGCCTTCCATCTGTGGCCTTGCTCTGCGATCGTTCACTGGGAAAGCTCAGTCTGTCCTCCCTACTTGTATAAAACCCTGCCTGTCCTTCAGCCCCAATGTCATTGCCCTCTTGAATTATACCTTATTCTGTGTGATTCACTTTCAGGGTTCGCTTTCTGTGTATTTATCAATTTTGCAAATGTGTTGCATGAGCTAAGTATTAGGATCAAAAATGACAAGGTGAACATCCCTGCTTTCAAGGCATTTCAATTCCTTTAGGGAAGGCAGCCATTAGCTCGCCAATTCAGTCATTTAGATCAAAATATCTACTCGTATTTTCCTATATTAGTAATCTTTTGACTCTGTAAAGGTTTTATTTGGTCCTTAAATTAGTTAAACCAACATAACCATATTTGCTTCCATCAGAAATCTGCTATATTCACGAGTTCAAAAGTGGTCTGCGTGAGTGACGCTTCTGGGGTGTTTGCTGCCACTTGGGGCCCTGCATGGATTCCCTGGTGGAGGCAGTGATCCCAGCAGGATTATATTAGTAATTTTTTTACTTCTCTATCAAAATATACCACAACTTTTTCTCTTAGGCTACATGTGCGTGTGTGTGTGTGTGTGTGTGTGTGTGTGAGAGAGAGAGAGAGAGAGAGAGAGAGAAAGAGAGAGAGAGAGAGATGCTGGGGAGAACAGGCAGACCATAGTGTATGTCAGGCAATGCTCCCCCATAGAGCTACACACCTACCCCTCATATTTTGTTCTATAGTAAAAACTCAGTATTTGTTTATGGATCATTTATAATCTCAACTCTTCTAATTTGTACACTTTGGTGGCAGAAAATCAGTTTTCATGTTTTTTTTTTTAAACTTTTGATTATCTTTCTAATCTTCTATCTTTATTGCTGAAGATTCAAGGGAACTGGTTTGATGATAAGAAAGCTATGGAATGGCACAAGTAAAAGATGACATGGGTCATGTCTAGGGACAGGCAGAGGGGATGGATAAAGTGAGATGTGAGGGCTGTTTATCACTAGGGGATGATCTGGAATCTTGATGCATTTCATGGAAGAACGAAAGAGGAAACTACATATGAATAATATGATGCCTATAGTCCAAATTTTAAAAAATTGAGACTCAAATTTGACATAGTGCCTTGTTTGGGTTCATCTAGTTGTACCAGGAAGCATTCCCAAAAGTTTAAATTTAGCAATTTATCTAGTTTAATTTAGTTTTACATCACAGAATTACTAGTCTCAGGAATTGGATTATGTTCTGCTGTAATCGTAAAAGCCTGTTTAATGGTTTCATAGTATTGATGTGCCACCTAGTGGTACAGTTTGTACGTGCGTCTGCATGTTTTGGATTTTTTTCAATGTTATAAATGTGTGTCTTCCTTTATAAGAATGACCCATTTACTAGGAACATCAGCTGAGGTCCTATTATGGTAAATTCACTAGTTTGTGATATTGACATTGCTGATTTTTTTGGTTGCTCTCACAAATTCATTATAAAGGAATTGACAGACGTCAATTACTGTTGACCGAAGTCTTTTCTGTTTCAAAGCTTTCTAAGTGTTTGAAAAGTAAAGAGTTGATTTTTATTTTGCTTTATGATTCTGTGCAGTGAGGGCTGATGTTTCTCTGATAACTCTGAAAACTGGCCAATTGATAAACTTGCTGACATGGATTTCTAGAAAAAACAGATTAAGTTTGAAGGGCAGAATTGATTTGCTGACTAATAAGCTCACTCCATCCAATAAGCCCACTCTCTGTCCTCTACCTGATATGCTCATTGACTGTATTTCTTATAGCCTCACTTCTAATTTAGAGCTCCTAATTGTCAGTACATCATCAGACTAAAATTAGCAACAGGAATCCCCAGTACCAATAAATAAACACATACATAAATAAATCCCCCTGGGCCTTACACAACCAAGAAGTGATTGAGCCTGGATGCCTTTGGCCAAGTCTCCTTCATGGGTCTGAAGTACATCCTGAAATCACAGAATTGGTTATGTCTCTCTCACTCATGGGAAAGTAGGGTCAGCAAATACCTGCTTTACTTAAAAGACTCAGTAAGATTTGAGCCCATGTTCTTCAAATGATTTTATGTTTTATTTTTTTTTAAATGCATCTATAAGAATCGCATTTCTATGATACATCCCTCTTTCTGGAATATGATTGCTGGCTGTTTGAAGTTGGAACACAGAGAGTCTTGATTGCTGGGCCAGATTTAAAGTTACAGAATGTCAATTACATGTTAGCACCACTGAGGTCTCAGGTCCCTCTACCTCAGGCATTGGACCATGCTTGCCCAGTAAGCTTGTGGGGATTGAAAACTCTGTAGTACATGTCTTCAAGATGGGTCACACCAGCTTTGAAAGGGAAGAGGTCCTAGGTCCCAAGCCACTCACACTTGCCAAGTATTCCTACCTGTGGTACAGGGCTGAAGCACATGGGGAGTGCCTTAGTATTGCTAAACAGTCCTTGGGGTAGAGAATAAAGGGACTTGTGGAATAACCCTTTGTCTTGCCTCTGTGTCTGGTGCCCTGAAAAGACTATTTTGTTGATTGTTAAGATGAGCTCCTGCAGGGCTATCCAGGAACAAAGTTTCCTGATTTTCACAGGGTCCTACAACAGCAGTAGGGCCCTGTTTTCCAAAACCCCTTTCCATTGCTCTGTAATAAGCACTCACATGAAATTCCAAAGTAGACAAGCTTCATACCAGCAATAGTATCATGATTACTGCTATAAATTCCTAGAGGCTGTATCACCTGTTTTATTCTAGTCACCCCACTAATATGAGCATACATAAAGATTATTCTGAGTCAAAAATAGCAAAAGCATTTTTCGTCAATGAAATGACAAAGTAGGGTGCTTCCTAGCTAGAGGACACCCAAGCTCTCTACTTGAGAAGCAGGGCAATTTTCAGCAATGCCTGTTCTCCCCACTAGGAGGCGTCTTACTTCCTTGTGATCACGCATGCTCTCTTGTCAAAAACTACAAATATGGATTTAGTGATTGTTTACTTCCCTCACATCATCACCTTCCTTGTGAAGGACAGAACAATTACAAATTCATCATGTTACAAACACTTTGTTCTCAACTTCTTTAAAAAATCTGAAATGCTCTCTAGAGTATTTTTTGGTCTTGGGAACCTGGTGGGGGTGTGTGGGGGAGTAGCTGGGTATAAGTCTAGTAAGAGTGAAATGGATGGCAGTTGAGTTCAAATATGTATGCATGACATGTATTTCTCTCATATTTATTAATGAATACTCCAAAAAAAATGTTCATTTAGATTCTCATTTCAATCCCATTGATGGTCAGGGGAGTTCATTCTGTACCATTTGTCTCCATTTGCAGGTGATAAAAGATGCCATTGTTGAGAGCATTGAATACAGAAGACAGAATCCATCTCGCTGCTCTGTTTCCCTCAGTAACGTTGAGGCAAGAAAATTTTTCAACAAGGAGTTTTTAAGTAAACCTCAAGTATAGATGGAAAGAGCTGTGGTTTCTGATGCTACATTTGAAATTCCATGGTAACTGGATTTAAAAGCACAGTACAGATAGAGACTGGCTGATACTTACAGTTGCAGTTATTGAGCTGCCTGAGAATGCTATTTCTATGAATTAATTTGGTAGGTGGACAAATGATGTTGTTTATATACAAATATGCTTAGTGTCAGTTTCTGTTAGTTTGAATTTTCTGATGTCGATGTAGGGACATGTACCGGATTTTAAAACATTCCTCACCAACCTTTGTATGTGTGCTCTTTTTACAAATGTGGTTTTCTTTTTTAAGATATTTAAAAGTTTAGTAAGAAAGACTGTCCATTGTTTGTGAATGTTATTCACTGACTAGAAATTTTTTTCATGCCATGAGACAACACTATTTTTTATTTATATATGTATGTATACATATATCAAATAAATGCATTAGTATGCAAAATTAGCAAGATAACTGAGTTTTGTTATTTTTTGTCCATATTTTTTATTGGTGCTCCATAGTTGTGTATAACAGAGGTACCTATTATTATATCTTTGTACATGCACACAATATACACTATGAGTTAGTCAATATCATTCCCCAATAGTTCCCCTTCCCCTACTTCCTCCCTCTTCCTGTCCCTTTGTCCTACTCTACAGATCTCCCTCTGATTTTCATGATACTATCCTGCATCCACCCTTCTTTTCCTTTTGCTTCTCTAGCTTCCACATGTGAGAGAAAACATAATGGCCTTGACCCTCTTAGTTTGGCTTATAAAACTTCATATATATACGACATTTTTAAAACAAAAATCCATATATCCATTGATGGATTCCTGGGCTGGTTCCATAGTTTGGAAATGTTGTTATTCTTTTTAATGAGATATTACACCTTTGTCATGAAAGACTTTCAGATTCACTGCTTTCAAACACAAAAGGTGCTAATCCTACATTCAAACGTAAAACTTTTTAAACTTAAAGGATTGCTTTTCTTTAAAAACAAAGCATATATAATCTGTTCAGCAAGGGTATTCATTTATTCAGTAAGTAGAAAAGATATATAACCACTTTGAACATAATATTTTACTTTGCTGATGTTATCCTAGACTACTCACCCGCCTGCCAGAGACATTGACCTTAAGAATAATGAGGAAGAGTGGCACATGCTGTGCCAGGCTCCAAGAAGTGGCCTGCCGTCAGCATCTGCAGGATTTGCCTCAGAGACAGTCCAGAGTGCACGGCTGTGGTTTCCATCACAGTTGAACTATTGAGGCTCAGGAGTGACATTCCAAATCTGAGGTCTTCCTCGTCTTTCTTTGCTCTGTCATTTTTCTTTTCTCTCATTTTCTTTCTTTAAGCTATCTATTCTTTTTCCTCTTACCTTTCACATTTCTACCTATGAGGAAAAACAAAAACAAGGATAAAAAAGAAGGGAAGTTTGGAAAGTTCATTTTCTCCCCACTGACTCAGGCAAATGGCCCATGAGCGCCTACCGGTCCCCCCCCCCAACCTGGGACACAGCAGGGGGCAGCACTGAGGCAAGTCTTGGCACTCTGGTGGAGATGACAGACAGAAGGTCAACACTACAAATACATATCCACTGTGTTAGAGAATGACAGGTGTCACGGGGGAAATCATGGAAGGGAAGGGACAAGAGGAAAGGGTTGGAGGTGTGTGATTTTAAATCAGGTTCAGGGGGTGACATTAGAGTAGAGATGTGAAGAGCTGAGGGAGCACAGCCTGTGGGTATTCAAGGGAAGAGGGAGGAGCCACTGTGAATGGACCCAAGTGGACCACCATGCTTGTTCAGGGAACCGGAAGGGACCAGTGTGCCCAGAGCAAAGTAGGAGGTATAAGAAGTGAATTTTATTTGTTCAAAATTTGTCAAGACTCTTAAAAAAATTATCTCCTATAATTCTTTTTTTAAATTAAATTATTTATTTATTCTAATTTGTTCTACATGATGGCAGAATGCATTTCATTTCATATTGCACATATAAAACACAATTTTTCAAGTCACTGATTGTACATAAAGTATTTTCACACCATTTGTGTCTTCAAACATGTACTTAGGGTAATGATGCCTAATTCTTTCCACCACCATTCCTACCCCCTTGCCCCCTCCTCTCTCCTCCCTCCCCTTTGCCCTATCTAAAGTTCCTCCATTCCTCCGGTGCCCCCCACCCCCATCACCATTATGAGTCAGCCTCCTCATATCAAAGAAAACATTTGGCCTTTGGTTTTGGGGATTGGCTTACTTCACTTAGCATTATATTCTCCACCTCCATCCATTTACCTGCAAATGCCATGATTTTATTCTCTTTTAATGCTGAGTAATGTTCCATTGTATATATATACACCAAAGTTTCCCTATCCATTCATCTACTGAAGGGCATCTGGGTTGGTTCCACAATTTAGCTGTTGTGAATTATGCTGTTATAAACATTGTGTTAATACTCTTTATATTTAATTTATCCTTGCAAACATCCCTGTGAAGTAACAAGACCAGAGTGATTCTATAGTTGCCCAAAATTTCTAGAGCTTCTAGACCCAGGGTCCTGTGTCCCTGACCAAGTGGCCCTTACATCACAGTCTATGGTGCCGCTAGTAATGAACTAGAGGGACACCTGAAAGGGTCCTGATGGTAAAGCTGGAACTGCCCAGGCCCCTTGCTTTCCCTTTGTTCACGTGCTTTTAGTTTCTTGACCACAATAGTAGACGCTCCTTGTCTAAAGAGGCTTTGACAGTTTGTTCATTTATGAATTTGCCAAAGTGTTAATTGTATAGAAGCACACATTTTGACGGCAAATTAAACGTACACACTTACGTTGTCATTATTTCTCTGTCCCAGAGAATGATGGGTAAGGCAGACGTCCTCTTGGTCTTCCTCCAAATCATCACCACGCCATGCAGTAATTGCAGCCCGGCTCCTTGCCTTTTGCCATGAACACAGCCTTTCCAATTTGCTCATGCCCACGACAGGGCTGCTCCTTTACCACGTCCATGCACAAGCTGTCCAATTTTTATTTACTTATTGGTAAGTAATGAAACAAAAGCCCTGTGTGTATAATTCATATAGTTTCATTCCTTCTGGAAGATGAGATTTTAGATTTTTTCGCAAACACTTTTATTCTAACATTGAAAACATAAAATTTTTGAAACCAGTTCCTCTTCCTTTCCCTTTTCTCCTCCCCTTCTCATTACTTCCTAAAGCCATTAGGTAGGATGGAGACAGGCAGCATTGATAATGAACTGTAGTAGGACATCAAAACCTGAGCAGGATTGGGAGGGCATCTGCACAGGGGAAGGAGGCAGATGGGTCACATAAATAGTGTATGAAATATAGGGCCAGGTTTCTCACTGAGAATGGAGTCACAAATATGGGAAGAAGAGAGCCAGGTGGTATTTCTGTGGTATTTATGAGGGTATTGGCATGGACTCATGGTTTTAAATTCATGTGGAGATACATGGACATGACTGGAGATGACTGGGGGAGTGTGGATGTGTGTGTGTGGGTGCATATCTTCTGCAGAGATGAAGGTGAATGGGCCCAAGGCAGTGTGGCTCCCTCATAGCAATGAGCACCCATGCACCCAGATCTTGGCTTTTGCATTCTCTTATTTACTGGAAGAACCCTGAGCTTTCTAGAGAAGTGATGAATTCCAGGATTGGGTTAGGAAAAGTATGTTCCAGTTCATTTTATTTTTCCAGAGAGCAAAGAGAATTGATTGCTTGAAGAATGATAGGAGTGTGTCAAAAAGATAAGCCAGGCTGAAGGATGCCTGCTGGCTCCATTTGGGACAAATCAAGCATTAAAATAAAGATGGTAACAGATTACAACCCATTGAGGAATATGACTGGGTAGATAAACCAGCTGATAAATTAATAAGGAATCAGGTAGTTGCATCATCTCAAAATACTTCCTCTATAAAATACTTAATTTTAAAGGGGATCAGAGTAACTAGGTTCTTCTTAGAACTGCTTTCAGCTGACGAGATATACCCACGTGGCTTTGGACTCCTGAGAAGCCCGCACCAATGACTGAGATTGGGGATGAAAGGCTGCCTTATCTCAGGATGGGACATCCTGAAAACATCTCTGATTTTTTTTCTTTTTTCATGCTCTGAACTCTCTGTGGGATTAGGTTGAGGTAAGACTTCAGCTCACCTAGTTTCTTCATTCAGCTTCTTGCCCTGGGTTGTCCTTCTTTCTTCTCTTGAGGTTCACCAAAGTGCAGCCCTTTCATACATTACTTATACAAGAACCTCCAACTTTGCTTCTTTTTCGAGAAAATCTGACGTAAGCCAGACACAAAAATGTAAGAGACCTGATTCTTTTTCAAAGAATTTACAAATTAGGAAAAATGTATTTTTTTTTTCCTGGAGAAAGAAAATAGAACTCATGAAATGACAAATGACAAAATTATGTATATGCAATTTGCTGTTGGGGGAGTCATTAAAACTGGAGTCATTAGGGAAATTTTCATGGAGAATTAGCTTTAAGGTTGAGTCTTAAAAACATAAGTAAAAATTCAAACAGGGTTCAGGAAACAGGTTATTTCTCTTATGACGTAAAATTACTCCTCCATAGTGAATAATGAATTTTAACATTATGTTTAGGACTTTGGGGGCATTGGTGCACTGACATGGAAGTTTAAGAAATCCTATGTTTTAGTCAGCTTTTTCTGTGCTGTGAATAAAAGATCTGACCAGAATAATTATATAGAAGAAAAAGTTTATTTGGGGGCTTACGTTTCAGAGGTTTCAATCCATAGACAGGTGGCTCCATTCCTTGGGGCTCAAGGTCAAACAAATCATCATGGTGGAAAAATGTGGTAGGAGAAAGGGTCTCAGGGCATATCAGGAAGCTGAGAGACAGGCTCCCCTCAATAGATACAAAATATATACCTTGAAGGCATGCCCTCCATGACCCACCTGCTCTAGCCACACCCTACCTGCCTTCAGTTGCCATTCAGTTAATTCCTATCAGGGGATTAATTCACTGGTTGGGTTAAGGCTCTTATAACTCAATTATTTCTCTTCTAAACCTTCTTGCATTGTCTCCCACATAAGTTTTTTTTTGGGGGGATGCTACACATCTAAACCATACCCTAAAACCTCAAAGTATTTTGAAAAGCAAATGTTTTCTACGCTGCAAAAAGCTAAATCTAATGAGGTGAAATCCAATAAGCCAAGAGTGAAGTAAGGAAGGAGACCCATAGGGAGGTGTTCACATGGGAATGGGAATCTACACAGAGATGGTAGAGCTACTATAGTAGTCTTTAAATGGTTTCAATCTGGACAGGGAAATGTCCTATGGGTTGTCCCTCTCCCTTCCAGAGTTCTTGGCAGACCTGCAATTGAATCATGCCCTCTTCATAGATGAATCTGGATGCACTTTCAGACTCCTGCTTATTTCAATGCTCCAGGTCAGCCGTACCAATTGATTGGAATGGGCATAGGA